CCTGCCGGCGCGGAAGAGCCTCGGCGGGCTCGGGGCGGGCCGCCGCCCCCAGTGGGGCGCGGGCGGGACAGGCGCGGGGGCGCGGCCTTCGTCCCCCGCCCCCAGCGGTCGCGCGGCCGCCAGGCGGGCTCAAGCCAAGGCCCCGAGACTCGGGGGCCAACACCCAGCAGCATCCTCCGCGACACCCGCGCCGCTGGGCCCGCCGACGCGGCGGCGCCCGCTCCGGCCCGAGCCCAAGGGTGACTCGGCGCCSCTGGCGCTGACGGGCGGCTCCGGGCCGGCTCCGTGGCCAGGCCGCAGGGCCCGGGGACCAGGCTTCTGGCCCCTGGGATTCCTCTAACCCCCCAAATCAGTTTACTCCTGGGGACCCCTGTAGTCCTAGCAACTTTCCTGTGTCCCAGAGGGGACGTGGTGCTGGGGAAATTAACCGAGGCCTGGAGACCCCCCACCCCCGCCAAAAAGAGCATTAACCAACAGTATGAAGTYCTGTCCGCTAGTTTAGCAGGAAATATAAATGTGTTACTCATACACTGCAAGGAAGGTAAAATGGTACAAAATTTATCTGTCACTTCCTCAGAGGTAAACGTGAGTGACCATTTGACCTAGCAGTTACACTCCTAGATATATACCAGAGGGAAATGACAATATAGAGCCACACAAAACTTGGACACAAACCTCGATAACCCTAACGTCCATCAAGTGATGAGTGGGTAATTTATCCAGTGGAATATTATTCGGCCATGAAAATGAAGTATTAATATATGATACAATATTGATGAACCTTGAAAACTRCCTAAATCAAAGAAGCCAGAATTTTAAAATTATGTAATTCCATTGAAATGAAATATCCAGAACAGGCAAAAAACCTATAGGACGCAAAGTAGATCTGATTGCTTAGGGATGGGAGGATGAAAGAACTAGATTGATAGCTGAAAGTTACTATGTTCTTATTGGAGTGATAAAATTTCTAAAATTGAAATGGTTGCAAAACTCTGAATACACAAAAAAATCATTGAATTGTTCGATTTAAACAGTGAGTTGCATTTCAATGTGCATTATACCTCAAAGCACTTACCAAACAAAACTACCTAAAAAGATGTTACCTCAAAGGTCTAATTTTTCCTCATTGTACCCCAAGACCTGTAATAGTGGTGCCTAGACCAGACCAGTTGTTGAATCTTCCAAACTTTTTAAAGAGAAAGACGAAAATTATTTTAAAATCATTTTTCATGCCTGTATTCCAATTCTAAAAGTCTATTAATTACAAAACAAAAAAGTGCTTTGGAGGTTTAATTACCACTTTGGAATTTTCAGAAACATTAAGATAGGGTTTTCAATGAAACAAGTTTGGTTTTACTGAAAAGCAGTGTTCACATGCATTTTTTTAAAAGTCTTTATGAATGTTAGACTTAAATTCCCTTTGGTTCTTTGCCAAGAGTCATTTGATTAAAATAAGGAACTTTAAACTTTATTGGTAAAATAAAATAAGGCTTCATTTGGGGGGTGAGGGGACAAATATGGTAATTTTCCAGGGAAGTGTTCTACTTTACAGGTCAAAAGTGGAGTCACCATACTAAATGACTGATTTGACACACTTTTTTAACCACACTAATTTGCAATCCATATTCAATTCAGCTACAATACACACCATCCTTGTCCTGTACCATAAGAGAGGCTCCTGCTAATAGATCTGTCCTTATTAATCCTCACTCCCAACTTTTAGAAGCTTGAGTTTTCTGAAAACCCAACAAGTGGAACAGGTAAAATTAACATGACTATGTAAGATTATTTTTCACTTGCATTTTTAAATAATTTAAAACTTTATGACTGGACATCTTACTAGAATAATTAGAAATTTTTCTTTTAACATTTTCCACCTCTCAWTCCAAGAAGTTACTTTGTACATCCTTGTCCCAAGGATTTTTATTTTTATTTTTTAAGGTGTAGGTCTGTTGGCCAGGCTGGCCTGCAACTCCCTGGGCTCAAGCAATCATCCTGCCTCAGCCTCCTGAGTAGCTGAGACCTCATGTGGGCACCATAGAGCACACAGCACCAGCCTCAGGATTTCTTAATTGCTATTAAGAAATGGTACTACTACTCCAGGAGAGGACTGGGGAGGGGACAGGACACAGAAGGGATGAATGCTTTCTGTGCCCAGAAAGGTTGGACCACAGACATAGGAGGGAATACCTGAATCACCATAGCGTGGAGGCAACAGCACCAGAATTTAAAAGGATGGTCCTGCTTGGAAAAGAAATCCTACGGGATCCATGATGAGAGCTAAGGCTTCCCTCACCCTCATTTCACAGTACCATTTATGCCTTCTAGATTTGAGACTTTACAGGAGGCCCTTCACCCCAGTGACTGATAAGATGGAATTTCCTAGCATCTTTGTGACATGGGACTCTGGTTTACTTATTTTTATTATGGTGTTGGGGATTGAACCCAGTGCCTCACATGTGCTAGGCAAGGACTCTACTACTGAGCCACAACCCCAGCCCGGTGACTCTGGTTTGGTTTGACTTAAAGGAAATAAATGTGTTATTTCAAATAAAGTAATTTATGCAGGGTAAAATTCACATCTAGACAATTATTTGCTATTTCCATATTTTAATATATCTGGAGTCCTTTCATATGCATGATTTTCACCATCCTATGAGAAAGCCTGAGTAGCTTTGTTACCTAAAGATTCTCAAAATCCAAGGAGCTAACTTTCACTCTAATCCAGTAGTCTTACCTATGGAATAGTCTCCCAAGCTGAACCAACGTGTTACACTGCTAAACAGACCTAAATTTACAGGGAAGCCATGCATGGTAGTGCAGGCCTATAATCCCAGCTACTTGGGAGGCTGAGGCAGGAGGATTACAAGTTCTCCACCTCAGCAGTTTAGCAAGAGCCTATTTAAAAAAAAAAAAAAAAAAAAAAAAAAGCAACCTGGGGATGGAGCCCCTCAAAGAGAGCAACAACTCACTTGTGTCCAGCTTTTATTGGGGGGTAGGAGGGAGACAGTTAAATCCCACCTAAGTATCACCTCTGGGCTCCAGACTGTTAGACTGCATTAGCTAACAACCTAAGGGCAGCCCTTGGTCATGCTGGCCTGGCTGACGGAACCCTGTTGACAGAATTCACATTTGGACTCTATTCTTATTCATCTTTGCTTTCCTAGGTCTGGGAATCTCTGGTCTGGTTTTTGTGYAGGGTCTTGCTGAAGATGTTTTGATAATTACACCCTTTTAAGCAAACATATTCTGTTTTCCCCTGAATTTATCTATCTTCCTCCTGTTTTAAGAGGTATAGCTTATATGACTGAGATTAGGCAAGGGTACGGAAATAGCTATCTTGTCAGATCTTGGGGCGCTACTGAGGCAGGTCTGTTGATCAACTGATTTGCTCTGTACTATTTTCTTTTTTTTGGAGGTGGTGGAGATTGAGCTCAGGGAAGGTATATTCTACCACTGAGCTACACCCCCAGTCTGTACTAAGTGTCTTCTTAAATTCCTGATGCATTGCTCATGTCTTAACTTCTACCTAAGTAGTTCAAATCAGGAAAAAAAATTATTACGTAAACCAGCAGGCATGATGTGTCACACAACTTCMGTGCAAATTGGAGGGGTAAAAGGAGTCAACTCTCTGCCCATGAACAAAGTAAGTCCCCAATAATATGAACAAGATGCAGTTTATCACTTAACAGTTACAACTTCCAAATCAGTCTACAGGCTCCAAATCCAGTGCCCCCTTCAACTGCAGGAAACCAAACTGGCTAAAAACTCGCTCATACACAATGGGGAGCCAAAGGAGGAGCAGTATCAATGGCCCAGGCCAACAGGCTCTCAACATGGGCCAGCTGTCTCTTACCAACAACCCGCAGCAAATGATACTGGGAAAAAACAGTGTGAGAAGATTTCTACTGGCACACATAGGACTATCCCAGTCAGTAATTCTGTTTTAAATATTTTTATTGAAATGACAATGAAATAAAAAAGAACAGTGACCATTTTAATCAAACTCTTGCTTTACAAATATAAAAATATAACCAAAACTTCAAACCATTTCTTTTATACATTTCCTATAAACAATATCAGAAAAATTCTCAAAGCCAAACTGTAAATGGTACTTGTAGTATACCATAATGTGAATACAGTAATCAAAAGTTCTTCTTTTGTGGTGCTGGGGATTGAACTCTGGGCCTCTCATGCATGCTGGGCAAATGCCCTACCACTGAGCTCCACCCCCATTCAAAGGTTTCATTTTTTTAAACATTGATTTTTCCTTCAACACAACAGCATAACCAACATATTTGGGGGGGGGGGGGTAACTGGGGATTGAACCCAAGGATGCTTTGCCACTGAGCTACATTCCCCAGCCTTTTTAAATTTCAAAACAGGGTCTCACTAAGAGGCTTAGGGCCTCACTAAATTGCTGAAGTTGGCCTCAAAGCTGCAATCTTCCTGCCTCAGCCTCCCAAGTCACTGAGGTTAGACACGTTTGTCTGCACTTGGCTGTTAATCAACATACCTTCCCAACTTTATTCTTAATAATTCCTGGGATTAAAAAATACACCTAACTTGGCTTAATTTAGATTTATAGGTCTTAGTGTTTTTTCCCACAAAACAGGTTTGATACTTATGAGCTAATATTAAAATGCATTTTATGGGGATGGTAATATAGCTCAGTGGTAGACTAATTGGTCCTGGGTTCAATCCCCAACATGGCAAAACAAAACAACAATAGAAATTTAAGGCTGGGATGTAGCTCAGTGACACAGCACTTGYTAAGCATGGGCAAGGCCCTGGGTTAGATCGCCAGCCCAGAAAAGCGGGGGGCRGGGTGAAGCATGGCTCAAGTCAAATAACAGTATTATTTATTATTTCTCATTATACGTTTATTTTCTTGGGGTGGAGCAGGTACTGGGGATTGAATCCAGGGGTGTTTTACCACTGAGCTATATCTCCAGCCTTTTAAATTTTATATTTTGCAACAGGGTTTTTCTAAGTTGCTGAGGTTGGTCTTGAACTTGCAGTCCTCCTGCTTCAGCCTCCAGATTCATTGGGAATCCTAGGCTCTCATTACACATTTAAATAACAAAAGCAAATCCCTTGAAATGAGTTTAACCCATACAATAAGTGATGTAAAAACAAGTGGAATAAGTATGGGAACAYCAAGTCTTATATTACAGAAGCTGAYTTGTATTACAGAGAAAACCCACTAAGCCTTCTATAGCAAGGCAACATGTAAAGCTGCAAATTCTCTGCAACAGCCTTAGCGATCAGCACACATTGTTCCAAACATACTAGTAAAACATTAAGTTTGAGGAACTAAAATATGGAAAAGCTACTCCAAGCATTTCATCTCAGGTGACTAAGCAAGTAGTTTAAATAGCTGAGGGCCTAAGTGTCAGATTATTTAAGAAAGGAAACTGTAAACTGACAGTTGCTGGCCTGATGAATGTGAAGGTTGTCCTCCACCTCTTTTGTAAGAAAACAGACCTGCTATTAGATTATTACATTTTATCCAAATACAATTAATGTTAATTTAATGGGACCYTTAAATTCCAAAAATAACTGAATGCTGGTTATTCAAAAACTTTGAAATATGTTACAGTACAAATTATGTACAGAACGATGCCATTTTAAGTATTGCCTACTTTTTTTAAAAAAGGAAGAAAAAAATTAAAATGCTTAAAACAACATAAAAAAAAATCTCATTTTCCTCTAAAGGGATGTCAATACTGAATGACTTCAAACAAGAACTAAAACTGAACTAAAAATTTCTTCTCCCTACTTTATTATAAACATTTTGTAGTGCCACTTAGTATACTGTTTTAAACAGAATATGTACTACTTGGAGTATTCATGGAAAATAAGATAGCATAAATCATGGTTATAAATTGTAAAAGTGGGCTTTCATTTATAAACAACCTGGGACACAGTAAGTACTCAAAAATATGCCTGTTAAAAACTATCCAATATTTAGCATGAAGATCATTGGAATGCAAATTTTAAAACTTAGTTCTTGAAGGAGTATGGTAAGAAATTATGAATCAGACAATCTTAATATTAATCAGTGCCCACATTCTCTTTTAAGGCTTAAAATAAATAAACCAAATTTTAATCCCTCAGGTTCTATATCTATGAAACTTAAAATACTGGGATCCAAGTTTTAGTTGGTGTTTGTGCAATATGAATTTTACATTCAAAACCAGATCTCTTACATCCCCAAATCAGTAACCCAGCCAACTTAAAGGTTTTGCTCACTAGGTTCTGGTATATAGATGACTGACTGTAGAACTTGTACAAGTGACCAAGATTTTCTAGGTCAAAGTGTGAGTTACAAAGGGCAATAACTGGCCTTGAATCAGATGACTTTAACTCAAACACTCTTTAGACTAACAGCATGTTTAAATCACTACCCTCCCAGAATTGCAAGAGCTCACATCTGAAATGTTATCTTTTCACTTATATGCCAAAGCAGTCATGGGAAATGAACTGGATCAACCTATCTGCATCTCTATATTCTCCAACCGGAAGGATCAACTAAAGACTCTAGCATAATGTAAATCAGAGGGACAAGACTGTTAGCCCTTGAGGGAAGAGGACTATTTAAAGGATTAGTGACTTTTTCAAAGGACAAAACTCTTCACTTTTGGTCAGGAAGACTGGTACTCATCTATTACAAAGAATGAGCACAGGTACATCAATGCTTCACAATTGTGTGAATATCTGATAAGACTCCAACTAAATAAATGTGAATGTTTACAATTCCTCAGCCACTCTTGGCCCGATCAGGTCTGAATAGGGAAGAGCATGACATATCTTTGACCAYTCCATATTCAGACTACCAGCCTTGTGATCAGTACCATAAAAATATATGAACTAATCAAAAGTTCATCTCTACCTATCAAAAACTTACCAAACTTGCAAGCTATACCTTGCAAGATTTCTTTCACATTAATCCTATAGTCAACAAGTCTATAATGATGCATAAACAATATACTTTTGACCCTAAAATAATGGTGCAACCAGCAGAGTCCCATTGAATCTAACTGGATGGTGTTCGTGTAAGTTTTTAAAAATTTGGTACTTTTCTCTTATGCTGACAAAATCTGTCTTCTACCCTGCACCCAGAATTCAGTTGATTTTGATTATTCCAAAAAAAATTTTTAAAGCCTTTTGTCACTTGCTAAAACAAGGTTTCCRTCTCTATGGATATAAACTCAAGTTAGTTGAGATAACTCTGCAAGCTGAGACTTTATAACCTAATAGTATTACCATGGCTCTAAGGATAATTAAAAAACAATTTCACAATAGCACAAATAATTAATAAACCCACTGTATAAAAAAACAACACTACATGAGCTCTATCTAGAAGGGTCTCTTTTTTGTACCAATTCCCATGACTTAGCTAACCCAGTATATTTTAATGATTTCCCCTATGTTTAATATCTGTTGTTACTRAGGCCTAGATGGCTGTAAAACATACTGGTAAGTTAATATCCMGGGAGTTCTCAGCAAGAGAATTCACAAGAGTGTAAAGTGTGGTACAGGAATTGCACCTTGGACTCAATCAGACAAATTAGCTCCCAAAAGTAATGAAAGATCCTCATCACAAACCAGTAATGGGTTTGGAATATGTGCCCCAAAATGGTACTGGAGCAAGGGTCCCACAAACTCAACTAACCTAAACTGCCACTGTTTTAATGTTCACCAGCCTAGAGGAGGGAAAGAACAATCCTCAACTTTTGAGATTTTCAAAGTTTAATGAGAAATTAAAAAAAGAATACAAATAGAAAGAAGTTTGCTTTCTTTAATGTTGTACAAAAAATTATGAGTAGAACCAAAAGTAAATAAACATTATCACATTTGTTTACACCACTCTCTAGTTCCTCATATTAACTTTACTATTCAAACAATAGAAAGTAGCGGCAATTTAGGGATTGGGAAAGGGATAAAAACCAAAAAAACTTTACTAAGACGTTTATTCTTCTACACTGTGTATAGCTGTGCTCACAGAGACGGCTTCTTTTACTTCTCCTCTGCTGCAGGTATTCAGTTGTATATAAAATTGAACCTGAATTTTAAAAAGAACAATACCTTTATTAAAAACAGTATTTGTTACATAGTTTCCACTGTAGATGATAAGGGAACTAATCAGGATGTTTCTACCCTCCCTTGACATGATTACCATTTTGTACCTCACCAATCATTACCTTCTACATTAGATAAGTGTTGCTGGATATTTATATTGAAAAAAAATTAAAGACTATATATTTGATTGTCAATTATCAAGTTCCTTGAAGGCAGGAAAAGTTTTTACATGTCCTTGTATTCTGATCACTCAGCACAGTTCTAYACCCAACAGGTAGGAGCTTAAATGAACACTTTTTTTTTTCTTTTCATTTTTGAGTACTGGKGATTGAACTCAGGGGCATTCAACCACAGAGCCCCACCTCAAGCCCTATTTTTTGTACTTTATTTAGAGACAGGGTCTCACTGAGTTGTTTAGCGACTCACTTTTTGCTGAGATTGGCTTTGAACTCGAGATCCTCCTGTCTCAACTTCCCAAACCACTGTGCACCACCACGCCCATCTATTTTTTTTTTCATATACCATACTTCAACTTATAACTCATCAAGAGACCAAAGTGGAAGAACAAAAGACCAAGTTTGATTAGTGACTAAGTAGGCTGATTTCATATTTAACAAGCTTYCATACAGGGCTAAAATCACTACTGAAGTAGTTTTTAAACTAGCATTTATTTAGTACTTACCTGGAACCTAGCACTGTTCTAAACATTTTACGTGTTGTTCCACTTTTTTCTCATATACAGATGAAGAAACACGCAAATGGGTATAAAAGTTTGTCCAAGGTCACATTATCACTACTGAAAGTATAATTCAAATATAAACACTGACATAGACTCTACATCCATAATCACCATGGTATTATACAATTCTTATCTGGTTAGTTCTAAAAACTTTAACCAACACAACTTTTAAAAAATCCATTTCTCATCAATTTATCTGCCTAAAAATTTAAACTCCATGTAAAAATTTGGAAATTAATCACATATGCCCTTATTTAAGCCAAATATAGTAAATTCCAAAAAGGAAAGAGAATATATTACACCAAGAGATTCAATTTCCAGARTTTTATATAGACTCCCTTATACACTGTTGACTATTTCACCACTACCTTTTTGAATGAAGAACTCAAGCTTAACTATAGAGAACATCAGATCTCAGGAAGCAGTTGCATAAATGTCAGAACATCATGCCAATTGGTTTACACTTGACCCCAAGAGTCAACCTACAGTTTTAGTTTCCTTAAATACCAGATTTTGTGAACTGCCCCTTCTCAAGTGTCTCTGAATATTTTAAATTTGACAATTTAAATGGATGAGAAAATGTGCAACTTTCCATACCTGCTCAACAGCTGAGGGAGACTAGAAATGATGGGTCCATATCCTGGTGCATTGTCATACAATTCAAACAGTGGTGCAGCYACCAGCTTGTAATTTTTAGGGACTGCAAACAATGCTAAAATAAACAAAACAGGATTCRTTTTCTGTAACTTCTCATATAATCACTAATTCTATTTTATTTCAAATTAATACACAATTTTAAATCTGAAAAACACGTCTAAGAAAAAAGATAATTCTCATCAATACATTTTGATTGTGTCTTCTATGCTAGAGATCAGTCACACATTTGAAACTAACCGATTCTCTTAAGAGATCCATGGTATTAACAACATGTACAACTTGATTATAAGTACTGCTCCAGGAGAAAGGAGAAAATAGCCTTGGGGTTATAATTCATTTTGAATCCCATTATAAAACCATTGTAAAAAATGGAATAATTTCTTGTTAAGTCACATATAAAGGCCTAAAGATTCTTTTTTTTTTTTTAAAGACTCTCTTTAAGGTTTCACTAGTTTTTCACAATATGAAAACCAATACCAAGAGCTGAAAAAGTATTAAAATACCATCATCTGCAAAACATAGTGATGCTTGCCTATAATCCCAGAGGCTCAGGTGGCTGAGATAGCAAGTTCAAGGCCAGTTCAGCAATTCAGCAAGGCCCTAAGCAACTTAGTGAGACCACATCCCAAAATCAAAAATAAAAAGGGCTAAGGATGGGCTGGGATTGTGGCTCAGTGGTGGAGTTTGATCCCCGGCACCACATAAAAATAAATAAATAAAAAGGTACTATGTCCATCTACAACTAAAGATTAAAAAAACAAGGGGAGGCGGGGGCAAGGATGTGGCTCAGTAGTAAATTGTCCCTGGGTTAAATCCCCAGACTCCCTCACACCTCTGGCAAAAAATGAAAAATACTACTATAATTTGGTATGTTAGGTTCTAAATTTACTTCTCCCTCAATACCATGACTGGCACAACTAAGAGAAACTAAAGTAATTCTGCATGAACATGCCACATTTTTGGTTTTACAATTAAAAATAAACAAAAAAACTCTAGTAACCTGGAAAAAACACAAATAGAAATATCCTTGAAAACATTCTACAAGTGTTTAGATGTGCCTTCAAAAAACAAAATAACTGTGGTGCACAAATGTAATCCCAGTGACCTGGGAGGCTGAGACACGAGAATCATGAGCTCAAAGCCAGCCTCAGCAAAAGCAAGGCACAAAACAACTCAGTGAGAGCCTGTCTCTAAATATAGGGCTGGGGATATGGCTTAGTGGTCAAGTGCCAGAGTTTAATCCCTATTACCCCCACCCCCACCCCCACCAAAGAAAACTTACCTTTCTCTTGAAGTTGAACCAGAAACAACTTCTTATGTTCCTTAGGCTTTGTAATGTGTGCAGGAATATATGGATACTAAAATAACAAATGAGAGTAATTTGTAATTTTCAAAACCAACAATTCTTTCTACCTCCCCACCTTTAATTATCAATATCTCACATTTCAGATGCTAAGGCCAACTACGAACCCTTCTCAGACCAAGTTCTTTATATTCTAAACACAATTTTAATTTAACATGTACTCCATCAYATGCGTTTGTTTATTCCCCAATACACTGTAAACTGATGGTASAATATTAYTTTCTAGTTTTCCAATTACCAGGAYGGATTACCTAAAAGATATACTAATAAATAAGTATTTTCATTCATATAAAATAACAAGTAGTTATAAGTACTTGTTATTTTATATGAATATAAAATTCAAGGCAACTAAATATGAAGTCACATAATTTATGGCCCTAAGAAATTTACAACATGATGAAGTTTGACTTCAGTGTCATTACTGTTTTAAAATATCATTACAAGGTAAAATGCTCCAGAATCCTACGTGGAACATGTTTACTATGTTAAAAGTTTAAATATAGCCTGTGAGGTATTTGACAAGATGCTTTGTGTTCCTTCTTCCCTCAACAACCCTCCCAACTACACATACACAGCACACRCTAGACAAGCCAAGTAAGTGGAGTTCTGCCAGTTGGACAAAGTATAATTGCTTGGTAAAATGGAGAAAATATTTTAGACAATTTAAAGGGGTAAAAAGAATTAGAGAATGAAACTACTAGGTAAGAATGAACAGTTTTAGGGCTAGGGGCATAACTGAGTGGTAGAYTGCCTGACCAGCATATGTGAAGGCCTGAGTTCAATCCACCAAAAATTTAAAGAACAACAACAACAACAAAAAACAAACCTAAGGGATTTTTCTCCTAACCCTACCATGTATACTTAACAAAAACTTCTGCTATATCTCCCCACAATACATTCACAAATTTATTTTGCTTCTGGAGTTTTATTTGAGGGCAAGAGAATTAAAAAGTGCTGAAAAYAGACTTAAAAGGAAGGTAGAAAAAAAGTAGATGCTGCCAAAAGGAGGTATTATCATCATCTACATTTTATAACTTCTACTAAAAGAGACCAAGAACCTTCCCCAAGATGACTCTGCTAAGTAGTGAAGCCAAAATTCAACAGCATCTGTTCAACTCTTTATCTAATTATAAAAGTCTATGTSGCTTTTCATTGTGTTACTCACTGGCTCCTAACCAGAATTTGKGCTAAGTTCATTATACATCACAGCCATTCCTAAAAAAAATGGTTTGAGGTGATGTCCAAGGCTTTGGAGGTCCCCTAGACACATTARCAGCAGAGAAACAAACACACTAGCAGCTAAGATCTGAGAAGTGACTTAAATAGCACATAAAAAAAAAAAAATTAAAAATAAAACCTGTGGCTCCCATATAACAAAAGCTCCCAAACTGTGACCAAACCAATGTGAGTGCCATTACCCTAATTTTCTTCCACTTGAAGCTACAGTTCCTTTTTTTTTTAAGCCTGTCTTCTACAGTCCTGGACTTAATGTCTAAGGCAATTACACTCTTATCTGAAAAGACTATAGGGAGCTTATAATTTCATAACTTCTTCCCACTGGGGCCTACCTAAAATTCTAGGTTTACTAACTAACTATACAATCCTTTTGTACCTGATACTGCCAGGACTTCGGCAAAGGGAAGCATTCTAGGACCATGGCAGAGGAGATGGATGAGAGTATTCAGAAAGTAGACTGTAAAGCAATTTCCAATTAGGTCAGATAATGTTCAAAAAACCAAAATCAGTTAAGAATAATTGCTCTGATTATTTTTTTCTTTCCACATTTTTTTATTCGTGCATTATAGCTGTACATAATGATGGGATTTGTTTGCTCTGTGTCTTTTTGAACAAAAAGCAATTTTTTTTTCTGTATGGAATTAAAGCCAAGACACAGACAGATATGTTCTCGGCAATTCTTAGGCAGTGTGCACTAGCACTTCCAAGCCCTGTGTCCTCCTATACCTCTGCTATGCAAGACAGTCAAATGAGAGAGCACAGAATCATCTTTTGTTTGGCCAATATTTTGTGGATTGCTTGACCTAGAACATCCTGTCATGCAAAGAAGCTATCAAGCCACAGGGCCTTTGGCCAAAAGAATGCAGGATCCAACTTTAAGATGTTCCTTCACCARCCAAAGTAGGAAAATCTAAGCATCAATAACATTATCAATCACTACAATAGATTAAAATACATCAAATGTATTTAAATTCTTGAGGTCATACTGACACTTCAAAAGGTTACTGAAACATACTTTTTAAAATATATTTTAGTTGTAGCTGGACACAATCTCTTTATTTTTTTATGTGGTGCAGAGAATTGAACCAGTGCTTCACATATGCTAAGCAAGCACTGTACCACTGAGCCGCAGCCCCAGCCCCTAAAACATAATTTTTGTGCCCAATATGACAGAACCACATTCTCCCTCAGATTTCAGGGCAGCTGTGTTTGGAAGTGTCAGAAATTTCCCTGCTTTCTGCTATTGTTCCGCTCCCTGTTTTTCAGAATCTAAGCTTTTCCAAACCCCGAAACATCTCTCAACTCATGCTCAKACCCAACATGAAAGTGCAAGGGAGTTAATGTAACTCTCACACGATGGGGAGAGGGGTCTCTGGCCTTCTTTCTTCTTTTCTGTGTGTATGTGTGTGCACATACCACATTTTTTATTTGCTTATTTCTTGCATTTGAAGTACTTTTTAATGACATCCTTGACCTGAGATTCTTTGCCATAGTCCTTAAGCACTATAAAACTGTTAAGCACTTTAAGAGATTTGCCCTTTCAATCAATTTGACAGAAGCCTACCTATTCTCCCAGTTTCTTGTTGTCATCTATCTTAATTAGGCTGATATTGTGCTTAGCACAAAGGGCCTCCTCRAACTTGACACACATGGRCTCATTACAGTCGGATRCAAGCACACAAAGATGGGCTTGTCTCTCCTTTTTTATTTAGCTTTATTTTATTCATTTATTTTATGTAGTGCACGTGCYAAGCAAGCACTCTACCACTGAGCCACAACCCAGCCCCTGGGCTTGTCTCTTATCTAAGGTTCCAGCARCTTTGCATATTCCATGTGTAAGGCCTTCATGGATGAGGACAGTCTTCAATAATGACGTCCATCATACCTCCAGCCGCTTTATACCAGATGGGTAAAGCCAATCTTGAATGTACCTGAGCCTCTGTGGGACTCAGCAGCGGCAGGGAAAGAGTCTGCTCTCTGTCTTTCTGATGGGCAATTCTGAAGTACAGTCCACATGGCTGCTGACAGTCCTTAGCTGGATTCATTTAGTTGCCCTAGTTGCCCTCAGTTGTAATAAGATCAATAATAATGTTCCTCCTCCTCCTTAAAAAAAAAAAAAAAAAAAAAAAAAAACATTCTGCAGCTGCTACTCTCCTCTCCCTCTCTCCCTATACTCTTCTGTTTCCTGTAATCACTTTCCAGAACTATCTACACCAAAGTCTATGTCTTATTTTGAAGAAAGTCAAGTGTCTGCAGGATGCTAAATAATGAACTCATTCTTCTGAAAACTGGTAAGTAAAAGAAAAAAAGAATATTTTTTCTTATACACCTCTTTATAAATAAGCAACAATTTATCTTTACATAAGTGTTACAAACCTAATGAATTCACAGATCCAGGAAATTCTCATCAATTAGTTAATATTATAAAACGAAACAACCAGATATTCTAAATACCAGATGGGGATGCCAGTCTCTAGATGACACCCAATGATCCCTGTCTCCTTGCATTCACACCTTTGTGGAGTGTTCTCCCAATGCACTAGAAGGTGATCAATAACGTACATCAGCATCAATGGTATTCCACTGCTTAGATGAGGTATAAGAAACTGTAGCTTCCCCTGTGGTCACTTTCACTGTCACCCACCATCTCTTCAATTACAAGCCAATTGAGGAAGCCAGTTGTATTACTGAAAGTTATCCTTTGGAGATGTTCTTATGACAAGTAATTGAGGGAGGCCTTGTGTCAACAGCCAGCAAAAACTGAAGCCTTTAGTCCAACAGCCCAGAAGAAACTGAGGGGTTACAYGTGAGCTTGGGATCAGAGCCTATCCCAGCAATGCAGTCCCAGCTGCCAATTTAACTTCATGAGACCCTAAGCTGAACTACCCTGCAAGGTAGTTTCCAGATGCCTAACCCTGGGAAACTAAGATAACACATTTCTGTTATTTAGGCCACTAAGTTTTGAGGTATAGGTTGATTATACCTTATCAGAAATGCTTAGAACCAAAGCATTTCAGATTTTGGAATTTTTTTCAGATTTTTGGAATACTGGTAAAGACTTAACCAGTTGAATATCCCTAATTAAAAAATCAAAAATTCTAAAACCAAAAACTTTTTGAGTGTCATGTCAACCACAGCACTCTGGACTTAAATGCTTGATTTTAGGAATGCTCAACCTGTAATCTGTTACACAGGAATAGATATATAAATATATCATCAATGATAAGCCTTGTTACTCCCTCTTCTCCCCACATAAAGACTGAATTCAATCTTTTGATCAAACTWTCAATTTATAGGACATACAGGAGAAAGAAATAYGTGTCCAATGAAAAAAGGGGGATGCAAATCAGCAAAGGAAACACTAAGACTTTAAATAGCCTGTTTTCATCATTAATAAATTACAAAAAGAAAGAGACAACCTAAAGGAGTTAAAAAAACTATGCTAATTGAAACAAATATAAAATAGAAATAATCAAGACAGTAAAAACAGTGACTGTATATGATATTATGAACTATTTCTCATTTTTTAGTACAATAATGGTTTAAAAGGTCCTTATCTTTTATGATTCAAACTAAAGTATTTACAAGTGAAATGATATCTAGGATTTGCCTCACAAAAATCTAAGCAGATAAAAACATGTATGAYCATGAGTTGGTGGATGACAGTAACAGGATTCACTTATTACTAGTCTCTCTACTTTTGTATATTTTTAAATTTTTCCTTTRAAAGAAATGAATATGTGGCATTGTCATTTGTTAACTAAATGAAGGAGGGGAGAAAAGAAAACTCAAAGTCAAATAGTACTTTGATCATTTTTTAAATGTCTAGAATTTAATCATCTTTTTGTTTCTCCAAATGTCCWGCAAAGATAACTGAACACTGACCTGAGGAGGTTCAAAATTTGGTCTCCACCAGTTACCAATGCAGTCATCAATGACCCAGTCTTGCAGGACCCCATCTTGACGACCCAGTATCTGTCAAAAGAAATGACATAGCTAGTAAACTAAATATACTTACTCACGAACACACTTCTTTGATGAAGAGACTATTTCTGGCAGCACTCCTAGTAGAGACATACAGCTAGTTAATGTGCCTTCCTTATATAATTCCTTGTTTATTATCTATGTCATTCTGCCCAAGATAGACACTGTTGGTTCAAAATTAGCATTCTACTATGAACATAATGCTATATAGGGCCAACAAATCTGTTACTGTGCTCTGGGTATACACAGAAAACCCAAGGTCATCAGACAATTACATCAACCAGCAATACAAGAGTTTCTCTAGAATCAACTAGAGCTTCTATGAATTCTCTACCTAACCAAGTTAGAAATATTTTCAAAATACACAATCTTCGTTTTTATTATTCTGTTTAACATTAAACTTAGTTGTTTTTATTATTCTGTTTAACATTAAACTTAGTTAACTTGATCAAAAGTATAATCTACACATTTGCATTGTTCAAAAATGGTTCTACAAGGTTCATATAGTAAGAAAGGGAAGTTATCTGTTCCGCTTCACCTGTTCCCACTGGCTGCAACATTCAACTCAGCTGTTTATTCCTCTGTTGCCTCTATTTTTAAACATACTGTTTTAGACGACCAGAAAACTCATAAAGATAGTTCAAAGACTTTCCATGTGCCCTACACCTGGTTTCTCCTTTTATAACTAATGTACCAATACATAATTACCAAGTGAAATCCATACTTTACTCAGAAATCCTTAGTTTTTCACCTAATGTCCTTTCTGAGTCCTAAGATCCCATTCAGGATATCACAATATATTTGGTCATCATTTCTCCTGGGGCTCCTATGGACTATGCCAGATTCTCAGACTTTCCTTGTTTTTGATGATCTTGACAGTTCTGAAGTCTACTGGTCAGCTTCTGTAGAAAGTCTCTCAATTAGACTGAGATAATGAATCTTTGGGAGGAGGACCACAGAGGCAAAGTGCCACTCTTACAGCATCACATCAAGGGAACCACTTACCACTAATATCAACCTTTATCACCTGGTTGAGGTCCTGTTTGTCAGATTTATCCAACGTAAAGTTACATTTTTAAACACATTCTTTTATGACCATTTCTTGATTACTTTTATTTTATTGCGGGGGGGGGGGGGGGGATAACCAGAGATTGAACCCAGGGGCACKTAACCTATGAGCTACATCCCCAGGCTTTTTTATTTTTATTTTGAAACAGTCTCCCTAAGTTGCTTAGGGCCTAAGTTGCTGAGGCTAGCTTTGAACTTGAGATCTTCCTGCCTCAGCCTCTTTGAGCAGCTGGGATTATAGGAATGTGCCAACGCACCAGGCTTACTTTTCAATTTTAAAAACCTAGAAGAACCCTATAATCTCCCTCTATTACACAAGAGAATTTAGATATTAAAACCATGTCACCCACTCATACTTTTTCTTCCTACATTCTCTCATTATCAACAAATTAATATACTTAGGTAGATCAGTCACAATAGTGACTAGTAAACGACAATTACATTTCCTTATTTGTACAACTATTTTTTTTTCTTTAGAGTTGATAAATGTTTGATTTCATTTACTATCACTATATTTATTCCCACATAATAATTTAAATTTCTTCCCAATTTAAGCATCAAATTACTCTATCAATTTCACTTTTTCAAAGAGATGTTATGCTCCAATCTACACTAGATGCACTCAGCCCTGCTTCACACAGCTAGAGTCCTAGGGCTTCCCTTGACCTTTCTCCTACAGTTTGATGCTCTCTAATATTCTGATCCTATATCTTCAGTCTTAGTTTACTTCTTCATTGTGGTAGTGAAAACCCTCTGAAGTTTCCTAAGCAAAGGTACAAGGAATAATACCAGTTTTTGAATCTCTTCATGTCTGGAAATAACTATTTTACCTGTACCCTTGACTTGTAAGACTTTAGACAGGAAATGCTAGGATGGAAATCACATTCTCTCAGAATTACAGGAGCATGCTCTAGTATCTTTTAGCTTCCAGTATTCTTTGTTGGCAGTCTGATGCCATTTCTGATTTTGATGCTTATATTAAAGTGTATGGCTGCCCAGTCACTCTCCTCCACTTTGGAAGCTTTGAGTACCTTCTATCATCATTGGTCTAAATTTTCATAATGATGTACCTTTGGGTGGATTTTTAAATACTCTTTATAGAGGGCAGGCCAGGAGGTCTTTTCAGATGTCCTTTGGGCTTGGGAAATTGTCTCAAATTATGTTTTGCTAATTCTTATTCCTCAGTTCTATTTACCTATAGTTTATATTGGTCATTTTAAAAATGAACACTAATTTTGTTTTTTTCTAATCTACATTCTTTTTATCTTTTCATTTTATTTTCTGATAGTATGAACTACCTTTTAACCCACCACTGAGGTTTTTGCCCTAACATTTTAAAAAATATTCATGAGGTTTTATTTTGGGTTGGTTAAAATCTTTTTTAAAGCATGCTTTGTCTCATAGATACAATATCTTCCCTTTTTAAAAATACCTTTATTTTATTTATTTATTTCTATGTGGTGCTGAGGATCGAACCCAGTGCCTCACACGTTCAAGGCAAGTGCTTACCACTGAGCCACAACCCCAGACCCACAATATCTTCTCTTATTGTACCAAGAAAATTAATCACAGTTTTGTCACTGAATTTTCCAYTTCTCTTGAATTCCGTTTTTTAAAAAAATGTATGTATGTACACATGTACTTTTGTAGTACTAGAGATGGAGTCCAGGGCCTTGCTCATACCAGGCAAGCACTTTATACCAATGAGCTACATCCAGCCCCCTTTTGCTTCTTTTGACCTCTCTTATTAAAAAGCCTTTCCCACAAGTCTAGCATACTTGTTATCTGCTCACAATTAAGGATAAAGCATAAGAGGTTGAATTAACATCTCTGGGTGAATGAATGGCAGGRCTATGCTATTTCTTCAGGAAGACTCCCAAATAGCATCACTTGGGAGTTTTCCTTAGACTGGTCCCTCTCTCCAGAAACAAAATCTTCAGCCTTCTGCCTGGGTATGTAAGACTAATTGTTAACATTCCTCAGCTGGCCGGAAATTTTTTTATATAGTTCTGCTCCATCTATCACTAGATGCTCTGAGCTAGCTTCAGAGTTGGAGACATTATTCAGGATGGAAACTTTCACTTACTTCTCCCCATCCCCTAAACCTTTCAATGAAGGTTTCATTCTGTGATTCCATTGCTTTCTCTGTAGAATCAATCCCCAGCCACTCTGCCTAACTGTACAGAGTAGAAGACAATCTAGCTATATAAATACATCTTTTTATTTCATATTTTTTAATTGTCAATGGACCTTTATTTTATTTATTAATTTATTTATATGTGGTGCTGAGAATCAAACACAGTGTCTCACACATGCTAGTCAAGCTCTCTGCCACAGAGCCACAACCCCAGCCCTACAATAYATCTATCTTATACAGACTTATCTAGCTTTCAACCCATTCAAGCACCGACCTTCATATGTACCTGGCACCTCTAATTCCTCAGACTCTGGTGTTCTTCACGGTTAAATTCTACTCTGCTCTCCTTCTGGACTGAGGCTTCTGCTAAGTCAATCATTATTTGCCCCTCCTAGCTCCTCCGAAAATTACGTTGTTTCTTTTTGCACTCYTTCAATCCTATTGGATTTATAAGTTTTTAAAGATATCCCTTTCCTGCCTCTTTGGTGGGGTTTTCAGAAGCATAGGTAAGTAGGTAGATTCAATCTACGTAAGTCCAAGCACAGGAAATGAAGAGTTATAACGCACTTTAACAAGTACTAGAAAGGGGCTGGGGCTGGGGCTGGGGCTGGGGCTGAGCGGCACCGCACTTGCCTAGCATGTGTGAGGCACCGGGGTCAGTTCTCAGCACCCATATAAGTAAATAAAGGTCTATCAACAATTAAAAAAAATTTTTTTAAATCATATTAAAAAGAAACAAGTACTAGAAAAACCAACYAAAAGTTCATAATGATAACTTAAACCCAAGTGTTAGTATAATGATTATTTTCTGAAAGTTGAACTTATACCTAAAGTTTATCTTTAGGTGATTTTAATTCTGGTTCTCCTTTACTTCTCTGTGCATCAAGGGTTTTGCAGAAGGTATGGATTAATTTTATTATTTAGAGGAAGACTGCATTTTAAATATAAAAAAAAAATCAATCATTAAAACAACCTACAGTTTTCAGTATCTACATATTTGAATCCAACTATTAAGAGGTAGACATTAGAATGATTTTTTTAAAAAAAGTAGTACAATTTGGGCAAATTTTAGAGACTTATTTTGGAACAAAACTATGAGCATTCATGTCTCCAGCTCCACTACACAGTAGCAGTATAATATCAAAACTATCTATATCCCAGTATCCGTATCTATAAAATAGGATTAGTAATAATGRTACCTACTTCCCAGAGCTGCTGTGATGATTAAAGTAGTGACTACAGGTAAAACATCTAGAACACTGTCCAGAACAGTAAATACTCAAGAAATGCTGGGCTTTTATTTATCATTATTGTTACATCAACATCTCAATTTTTAAAACATTTAGATAACTTATAAGTTCAACTTTCAGAAAATAAACATTATACTAACACTGGGGTTTAAGCTGTATTTATTAAAAACTAAATATTCAAAATAAATTTATCCTTTTCACAAGACAAAAACAAAATTATATATAAGTTGATGATATTCAGATGGGCAATTAAACCGTCAAAGTGGTTAAACAGAAAAATACCTCTGTCATTAAGCGTTTTAGTCCTTCAACTTCATCTTCTCCTGGGTTAAGTTCACCACCAGGTCTGTATAAAGGTTAAGAATTTCAGCTTTCAACTTAATACAATTTGGGGATAACAACAAAAATACAATAGTAATTATTTCTCTCAATGTCATATAAGGCACTCAGAACAAACAAATGTCAAAAGCAGGGAAAAGAACATTCTGGAAAGTTGAATTCATAATGTTAATTCATCAGACTAACAGTATATTGTGCTGGTTTTAAACAGAAAAAATATATAACCCAGTATAAACATAAAGGTTAGCTATTGGACACCAATTCATCCCATATTCTCTCTGAAATCTATCCCATAATAATGGAGTCTAGAAATGCCCAGAAAGCATAGACCACATTGTCTAGGTCTGGACATTTTTTAAGAATTTCAATCTAAGTTTCTGAGAACTTTCTTTTTTGGTATAATTAATCAAAAAGCCATGGGCCAAGTAAATATTAAAAGATTTATGAGGTCAAATGATTGAACTATATTAAAATGAGACTAGAAAACACCATTCTAAGAAAGAAATAACATCAATTGCTCTTAGTAATGCTATGCTGACACCTGGAAACTGAGCTTGAACTAATCTGTTCCATGGGGTTTCTTCCAAGCTCAATCATTAACATCAATAATAATAGAAATGTGCAGATTTCTGTTTAGAAAAATAAATGAGCACTGTCCTGGAGAAAACACACTTTTTTTCCTTTCAAAAGACTCCACTGAACAGTGTTTGTTGAAATGAATAAATGACTAGGGACTAAAACTGTTACATAAGCCAGCCAACCTATTAAAAGTTGTCTTGCTGTTAATTCCAATACCACTTACAATTTGAAGAAAGTTGTTCCCAGCTGTAGCAGTAACACATGGGGTAGCCGGTGCTCATGTACAATCAGAACCCCTTCTACAGTCCTTCTCATTCCAATTTTATCAAATTCCTCCCTCATGCGCTGAAATCTGGCCGCAACAGAGCTGTCCTTCTCATAGAGGGGCTCTTTTGTACCAAAAGTATAATTGGTAAGAGGGTACCTGTGATCCAAAAATAAACATCTAGTATGAGAACTGATAAGCATAATTTTCCATAACAGATACCAACTACATCAAAAGAAAACATAATCAAAAGTGTTATCTTTGTGCTCAGAGACTTAGGATTTGTCTAAAGTTACACAATTAACAAATAAAATAGCAGAGAATAGAATATTGCTCTCTGAAGTCTTGAAATCAGAAAATCATTATGATCAAGTAGCTACTCCATAAATGAACTTTCAGGCATAGATAATGCTACTATAAGGCCCTTAAATGCTTAGAGAGGTGGTTATCTAGATATTGGTAATACTTTGGTTTTAAACCATGGCTGCTATATCAATAATTACCAACCTGATTCCTCTAATACTCTAGTCATAAATTCTATTAACTATAGGTGCTAATAGCTAATCCCCCCTTTTCCTATATTCTAAGCATTTCTCTAATTATTTTTCATTTCTCGCAGTCAATTATGATCAAATTTTTCTAGCACCAAAAGCTTTTCCATATCAACTTTCCTAGGTTCTTTCCTCTCTAAACCTACAAAGAGGCCTTCTTAGCCTTCTGCAAATTATTCTATTCAGTATCCTCATTCTTTCCCTCTCATTTGAATCTTCTACCCATCATATCTAATCTGAATACACTTTTCCTTATCAAGAACTCAAAATATGGTTTATATTGTTGAAGATAGCTGTCATCTTATTTAGTAAAGATCAATTTTTTCYTTACAGAGTTAAAACCCCACGTGTATATTTTATCACAAGCCACCCTGCAATACCTTGATTATATAAGCCTTTCAATAAAAATGTCTTAGCCACATTCTATCAAAAGCCCTTGATACTACATACCCAATACACTCTTTTTTTTTTTTTTAAAGGGAATTGAACCCAGGGCACTTTTCAYATCCCCAGCTCTTTTWATTATTTTGAGACAGGTTCTAAGTTGGTGAGGTTGGCCTCAAACTTGTGATCCTCTTGCCTTGGCCTCTAGGGCAACTAGGATTATAGGCAGGTGCCAATGGGTTTAAACACTCAGCCATTCTTGAAAAGAGAAATCAAAATTATCCAAACAAAAAAGTTACTTTAATTACAGAAGCCAAATTCTAGGCAAAAATAAAGTAGCTTTAAAATACATTWAAAAAGTATCCCTTCCAGGAGGCATTAAAGATTATAAGGAACTGTTCCCAGGAGTCCCAATGGTAAATCTAACATTGTCAATGTTAGCAGGAGCACACAGCACTATGTGTCAGGTAATTTTTTAAAAATASTTTACATAACATGTAGTTCTCAGAACCTAAATTAGAAAGATAACACATCTCTTTTGAAAGAGCCAGCTCCCATAGCAAGAAGGAGATGTTATCAAGATGAAAAGTTTGAATTTTCAGCTGTGAAATCAAAGTGCCAGCCCAAATACATACATGTTATGCTATTATAAGCATCATAAAGCAGGGGCTGGCTACATCTTTCTTATCACTCTTTATCCTGTATTAGGCACACTGCCTGGTACAAAGTAAGCATTCACACGGTATTTCATAGATGAAAATACTCTGGGGGACAGGGAACTTGTTTTCAATTTAATAGATCATTACTCAGCCAGGGGAATTGCCATTCACAACACAACAATTATTTCTAAATATCATATTTATATGAAAAGAAAAGTATTATAAATCGATTCATAACTTTTTTTAATATATTGAGGATTTAATGCAGGGGTGCTTTACCAATGGGCTACATCCACAGCCCCAATACATAGCTTTTTTTTTTTTTTAATATATTGAGGATTTAACCCAGAGGTGCTTTATCAATGGGCTACATCCCCAGCCCCAATACATAGCTTTTTTTTTTTTTTTTAATATATTGAGGATTTAACCCAGAGGTGCTTTATCAATGGGCTACATCCCCAGTCCTTTTTTTATTTTGAGACAAGGTCAAAAATCAAAACATTTTGTTCATAGCATCAATGCTACATAATGGCTTGTTGCAAACTGATCCAGTAATCAAGTAATCAATGCAAAAACATACAAAAGCTCAAGTGGGACCTAGTTCACATCATGACTGAAAGCAATCCAGAAATTGTGCTTTCATCCATTTTTAAAAGAACTCGTCTTTTCCCTTTCATAGGAATCTTATATGAGGACTTTTAAAAAGTAGTATCAAATTAAAGAAATTAAAGCACTACTACATGTTAATGTAATTAATACCTAAGGTTTTAACATTTATACACATGACTATCAACTAATTCCAAATTTTACAAATCTAATATTTTTATTATCCAAATTTCCAAACCAGCAACTGCTTTGCCAAACAACAATAAACAYCTTTTCCATTTCAAGACACTTGTTTTATTTGAATATAAAACCCTTACACTGTCTTACCAAAAAAAAGCAGCAAATCCTTGCATTTTTTAGACACAGACCAGTATAAACTGGCCACGTCCTCTATTATGGTCAGCACCACACTGCCTCAAAATCAAACTCTAAAAATCAACCAAAAAAAAAAAAAAAAAAAAAGCATACTGACCCCACACACACAACACACCTGTAATTCCAGTAGCTTGGGAGGCTGAGGCAAGAGGATCTCCAAGATCAAAGCCAGCCTCAGCAACTTAGGGAGACTCTGTCTCTAAATAAAATATAAAAAGGGGTGGGGATGTGTCTCAGTGGTTAAGCGCCACTGGTACCAAGAAAAAAAAATACAATATCTTGAGCAAGACACACCCCAAATAGCAATTACTTGTACCACAAGATTATGTTTGACAGWGACCTTGAAATGCAATGATATGCTTAAAGAGAAAGGTATGTTGAAAATAAAACAGCCCGCCATGGGTTCTCTGAGGCAATACTCTGGTTCGGTCCACTATCTAAAAGCCCCACCACCATAATAGCGTCCATACTCCCAAACTGAGGCCTACTGGTGCCCGGGATGCTGCTGCTGAGTTAGACAAGACATGTGAATGCACAGGGTAGGCCAGGTATCCCTGGGCAGTTAGATTAAAGGTGATGTATTCATAAGGTGAAATACTATACAGCACTTAAAAGGGGGGAGGGAAACCCTAGACCCTTACATACAGATATGTCCCGAAATCTTACTCTGTTAAAGTGAAAACTGCAAAAAGGATGCTGTTACACCATTCGTTTCCAGTAAACACACACAAAGAAATACCCTACACGTGACGTGAAAGTATAAACACTGAATCGGAAAGATAAAAACCACATTTTGAAGCTGGTTACCTCCGGATAGGTGACAAAAAATTAGTTCAAAGCAAACTTCGATTTCACCAGAATGAATAAACTCAGAGGAATGGGAACAAGCTCTGTTTTCAAATGAACGAAACTTTTCCAAGAGGACTCTAAGCCCCAGGAGCTATGAGAACAGGAAGGGGCCTGAGGAAGAGAGGAAAGTGGCATCCCCGAGCGGGCGTCGGGGTGGCGGGGAGGCGTGCAGCTCGCCGACCCGCTGAAGGCGCGCGGGAAGCAGAAACGTCTCTAGGAGCGCTCACAAGGACRGGGATGCCCGCCAAGGCCGCGCCGCACTTACAGGTTGATGGTGCGCTCCAGGGTGAGGGGCTTGGTCTGCTGGATGTACTTGTTGCCAAACTGGGTGACCCCCCGGGGCCAGCCCGTCTGCGAACGATTGGGTGGAACCACAGACAKGCTGGCGAGCTCCRGAAATGGCGGGGAGCAGAAAGCGGGAGTCAGGGGAGACTTTCCCCGTGCGGGCAGCGGTTATCAGCGTCCCGCTCAGCAGCCGCCGCCCGCCATTAACAGGAGAGCGCAATAGAAGGCGAACGCACGCCGGAAGTGAATCCGGGCTCTCTGGCGGCAGGAAGTAGAGAGGCGGAGGCCTTCCAGGCCGAGAGCCATTGAGCCAATCGCTGGCGAGATGATCTCAGTATCTGAAGCTTCCATTGATAAATCAGATTATGGGTTCCGCCTCCTCGTATTTTGATGCCTCCCATTGGGTAGCGCTGGGAAATCGCGGGGGCATTCTGGGAATTGTAGTTTCCGGAACGAAGTAGCCACTTCATCGGTGTGGCGTGGTTCGTATACCTAGTGAGATGAGTGGAAAGCGGCCCGCGGAACCCGGCCCGGCTTGGGTGGGGAAGAAGGGAAAAAAGGAGGTGATAGCACAGTTTTCCGATGCTGTCACGGAGGAAACCTTGAAAAAGCAGGTGGCTGAGGCCTGGAGCCGTAGGACACCGTTCAATCACGGTAACCGGGTGCTATGAGGGAGGAGCCCCYGCGCAAGGGTCTGGAAGCCTGGGGAAAAGCTCTGGGACTGGAGCCGGGCCCCAGGGGAAAAGGTGTTTGGATGACTTTGGTCACCTCCGACCCTCCTGCCTCAACTGCTGCTCCCTTTCATTTTAAAATTAGTCTGAAGTGAGAAATCTGAGAAGAAAAAATGTAGGCCGGAGAGTGTCGGGAAGTAGACGCACCAATTGATAGATTTCTGAAATCCGAGATTACGAAGTTAGAATTTTTACTGATGGTGCGTCGTTGGGCAATGGATTTAATCTTTTTTAAGCTTTAGTTTATATATATATATATATATATATATAGGTTAATAGTATTTATCTCGGAAAGATGTTGAATGGCAATGATAGATGCATGCACGCATCAGTAAATGTTTCCCTGAGTAAGGGCCAATAAATATTTGGACAGATGTTCAAGTGGCTTTCGTGATGTTTCTGGCAAGCGTTATGCTCAATCATCCCATGATAATTTAGCCAGAGCGTTTGCTGTTAGCTGTCAGAGAGCAAACACCTGAGCGCACTTGTTTTGTCSAGTCGGCTGTATGACCTAAGAAATAAACGTGTCTTGACCAAGGGAAGGATCACTTGAATATTTCTCAAGGGATTCCACCCTCAGCTTCAAGTTATACTTTATAGGATACGAGCTCTTCATGAATTTTCTTCCAAGGTTCACCATATTTTTTTGTTTCAGTTGTTAAAATGCTTTGAAGAGGTAAATCCTGGGTGTTTGGGATACTGAGAAGAAAGTGAACCGCATAGTATTCAAAGTGCAGGGTTTGGACACTGGCAGACTTCTCAATTCCCTCATCTGTAAGATAGGGGTAGTGATATCTACCCCACACATTAAAGTTAAATGAAATAATAATGCATGAACAGCACCACTGAACCAGGCACCTGGTAGGAGGTGGTGGTGGTTAGTTTTAGAGGAATAGTGATCTAGCCTTCCAGAGGTAGTGGGTGCAATGTTGGGATAGAAATCAAAAAATCAAAAGTTATGCCTGAACTGCTTTATTTTTAAAAGTATGTAATAACTTCCTCCCATAGTAAACTAAGGGAAGAAATGGCAGAGTTGAAGAGAAATTACCAGCCAGTGTTGCTCTTGTTTTTCTATTGTAATTTTAGATTTGGGAGGAAAGAATTAAGAATCTAAAATACATTCAATAATCATTAAACTGAAAAACTAAAATTTAAAAAAAGCAGGAACTTTGATTTAATGATGTCACCTATGCTCATCTTAAGGACTAGTATTTTAAGCAGCATTTAGCCAGGCATAGTGGCACAGGCCTATAATCCCAGTGATTGGGAGGCTGAGGAAGGAGGATTGCAAGTTCCAAGCCAACCTCAGCAACTTAGCAAGACCCTGTTTATAAGTGAAAAAAAAAAAAAAAATGGCTGAGGATGTGCCTTGGTGGTTAAGCACCCCGGGTTTAATTCCTGGTACCAAAAGAAAAGAAAGAGCAGAGCTTCCGATTCTTTCCTCCCCACCCCCAAATCTTAGATATTAGGCATTGGGTCCCCTAAAATTCATGACTGACATCCCCTTTTGTATTCTCCTTGWTGTGTTACTTTGGGGTCAAAAACACAAAAGGAAATAAAGCCATAGATAATATTTTCCTTCCTACAGAAGCCATTGCCATGGACATGGACCCCTTTCTACACTGCGTGATCCCAAACTTCATCCAAAACCAAGACTTCTTGGAAGGGCTTCAGAAGGAACTTTTGAACTTGGACTTTCATGAAAAGTATAATGATTTATATAAGTTCCAGCAGGTATTTATTGCCCAGTCACATTCRTTCTTCCACCTCAGAAATTTATTGTCTATAAAACCATTTAATACCTTTAAGACTCAAGGTTTTAGATYGAGTTTGCCTTGGTGGGGTGGTGCCAGGAGAAGTCCTTAGCGTTCTGTTGTTCAAAACATTCCTTCATTTAATGTAGCCTACTGAGTGTTAACTATGTATTAGGTGCTATAATCATAAGGGAGATTTTGACTTTGCCTGCTCTAGAAAACATTAAAGTCTGAAATAATAGGGGTGATGATGACAAAGGTAGTCAAGAATAGTCTAGCAATACATTTTGCCAATAAGGAAGTTCGTTATAAACAAAGGCACAAATTACATATTTGAGAGTGGTATAGTGAAGGGAGTTATGCATTAAAAGTTAATAACCATTTAAAATTTTGAGTTTATGTCCTTGTTTTAGGTGGGCTTCATATGTTGTAATATACCCTGCATTACACCCTGTCCAGTTAAATCCATTCCATTTTGATGGGCAATTTAATTTAGCAGAAAAGACTATCTCGAAATCAAGATTTTCTTCTACTCTTAAAAGATTCAGCCCAGACTAGCATAGAAATATGTCATTGGTTTTCTCAGTTTGGGAGATATATTTCAGTACAGGGAATATATCACTTTGGATATCCTTTAGAAAGCCTCATGACATCAGGGCCAAAATGTTAAAAAAAATACAGATAAGAAAAATGAAGAATTGTTTTCTATGCGATTTCCTTTTGATTTTATCTGGGATAAAAGTAAATAATGGGTTTCTATCCTTTTTATCATTTTACACTAGAACTGATTGTCTGGTCAGCTGGCAGTATCCTGCCCTAACTCAATCTATCTTTGGACCTCATACATGTGATTGAATCAACCAAGCTAAATATAGGAAAACAGTGAGACTCTTAAATCAGAAAACCTAATGAAAATTAATCTTTTGTCTATAGTAAGATTATACAGGTTAATGAAAACCCAGTTATCTGCCTTTATAAGCCCTAATACTTATAAAACTGAACTCCTGATCTCTGCCTGCGTCTGCTCCATTTTCCCATCTCAGTTGATCACCAACTTGATCTTTCTAGTATTTCAAGCCAAAAATGAGTCATCTTTGATTCCATTCTCACCCCTCATATCCATTCCATCAGGGAAATTTTTCTGTCTATACCTTCAAAATATATTCAGAGTAAAAAAAAAACCCTTTTTACCATTTTCACTGCCAGTAGCCAACACCTGATCCAACCTGTCCTTGTCTCTTACCAGGATTATTCTACTAATGTGTTAATYGGTCTCCTACCTCATTTATTTATACAATATCAGCTATTGTGTTCTTTTGCAATGCAAACTGGCCCTAGACATTGAAAAATATATGTTCACAAAAACTTGTTCACAAATGTTCATAAGTCGCATTACTTATAATAACTGAAAAGGGGAAAACTCAGCTGTCCATCAACTGGTAAATGGATAAACAATAGTTTGTTCATTCCATGGAATTTTATTCAGCTATAAAAAGGGATCCACTGCTGCAACGTGGGTGAACCTTGAAAACATTTGCTAAGTGAAAGAAGCCAGACACTAAAGGCTGTAAATTCCACTTCTTTAAAATATCTAGAATAGGAAAGTATATCTACAGGGGCGGGAAATGGTTTTAGTGTAGTGATTTCTAGGAGCTAGGATAGGAGAAAATGGGGAGTGACTTCCTGATGGGTATAGGATTTCATTTTTGAGTGTCAAATTCTGGACCTAGCATTGATGGTTACTGTACATCATTAATACATATGCTGAAACCAGTTGGTTTACACACTTTCAAATGGTTAAAATGCTAAGTTTTATGTGAATTTTAACTGAAAATAAGTCATGTAAATGGAATTGCATTATTTCTTTGCTTTAAAACTCCAGTGGTTCCTCATTTCTTTGAATAAAAGCCAAATGACATAGACCAGCTCCAAGGACCCCTTTACCTCTTTGATCTCAACTACTACTGCTCTTTCCTTGCTCTGTTCTAATCCACAGTATCCTTGCAGCATCTTAGAATTGACTTTGCCTCACCTCACTGAAGCCTGCTCTTGTCCCATTATTTATCATTGCAAACCCCTCCTGGCTTTCAGCACTCCCCACTCCTCTTTCCCAGCTTTATACCAATCATGTGCCCTTTTTTACATTGTCTGTCTACCTCAACAAACATGAACTTCTCTATGAAAACTACTTATTTATTGAATGAATGAGGTACAGTCAGGCCAAGTAACTTGCCCAAGTCAGAATTGCCAGATGGAAGGGCTATGTTAGTCTGGTTTCAGAATCCAGGCTCTTAGCCATGATGCTCTACTGCCAGATTCTCACTAAACTGCTCTTCTCCTTGTGTCTAATATATTATAACAAAAAAATCCTTGTCTTTTTCTTTCATGATCAAGTCTGATGATTTGAAGAAGAGAAAAGAACCTCATATCTCAGCAGTAAGGTAAACAAATAATCATGTTTGTTGGGTGCCAAATATGTGTGAGGCAGAGTAGCAGGTGCTTTAAATGTTATGTCAGATAATCTTTGTTGACATTTATTATCCCATTTTGTATAGTAGGAAACAGACTCTGAGTAATTAAACAGCTTCTTCAAGTCTCCCCAGCTAAAATTGAGAGATACAAACTCAAGCCTATATTTTAAAGCTCAAGTTCTTGGGGGGTGAGCGGTGTGCGCATACACAGCACATGGGGTCTTGGGGGCCACTGGGATTGAGCCCCGGGTTTTTTTTTGTTTGTTTGTTTTGGTTTTTTACATTAGTTGTCAATGGACCTTTTTTATTTATTTATTTTATTGATACGTGGTGCCGAGACTCGAATCCAGTGCCTCACACATGCTAGGCAATCACTCTGCCACTGAGCCACAACCCCATCCCCCATTGGTTTTTATATGCTAGAAAAACACTCTACCTCTGAGCACACCTGTAGCCCAAGGCCCAAATTCTTAATAAGTGTTTCACTTTGTTAGTAACTGGAGATACCATTTTTTTCACACTGTAAATTGTGAAGTACTGAAAACAAAACCCCCGTTGTTGACAGGACTATAAATACCTTCATACACTGCTGCAGTCTTTTTTTAAAAGATGGTTTGGAAAGATGCATCAAAACCTTTAAAAGTATTCATATCTTTTTGCAGAGTAATTCTAGTTATAGGAACTTATTGCAGAATAATTAAGGATATGCTTAAAGACTACGTATAAGATTATTATATTCTTCATTATAGTAAAAACTCATAGATTTAAGTAGTTACTTGCAGAAATAAGGTTACGAAACAAAGTAAAAACTATATAGTCATTAAATATGTGTATGAATCATAACATGGGATAATATAGAACTATATACACATGTATACATAGATATAAGGATATGTGTGCATTTACCTATTTATTTATTTTAGTTTTTACATTTTAGCATCTCTGAGATCCAGTGATTTGCATAATCACTGTTTTGCCCTAGTTTAATTGGCAACATTTTTTCTTAGGGATATATACAATAATACTTCTTAAAATCAAAGCTGTCTTAGATTCATTGAAATGCATTTTTGGGGGCTGGGGTTGTAGCTCAGTGGTAGAGCATTTGCCTACATATGTGAAGCACTAGGTTTGATCCTCGGCACCACATAAAAATAAATAAAACAAAGGATATTGTGTCCATCTACAACTAAAAAAATAAATAAATAAAAAGAAAAAGAAATGCATTTTTTACCTTGGCCTACTAGGGATTGAACCCAGGAGTTCTGTACCATTGAGCTATATTCCCTGGTCCCATTTGTTTTTTATTTTGAGACAGGATCTCACTGAGCTGCCTAGGCTGGCCTTGAATTTACAGTTCTTCTGCCTCAGCCTTCAGAGCAGCTAGGATTACAGTCGTGTGCCAGTCCACTCAGCATGAGATATTTGTGTCAAGGGAAAAAAAAAAAAAAAAGTATATACAGTATGGTCTTGTATTTAAAAATAAGATGCACACATATACTTGGATATCCATGTGTACAAAATAAAAGAAGGATTACACAGCACATGGGGTCTAGGGGGGCCACTGGGATTTTGGGGGGGTTTTGGTTTTTGTTTGTTTGGGGTTTTTTTTTGGGGGGGGGGATCAGTGCTTTATCACTGAGCTGTATCCCCAGACCTTTTTTATTGTTTGTTGTTTGAGACAGGGTCTCACTAATTTGCTGATGCTGGCCTCAATCTTGTGATCCTCCTACCTCAGCGCCCCCTAGTCGCTGGGATTACAGTCATATAGTACCATACCTGGCTAGAATTTTTCAAATAAATTTTTGTTTTTCTTTTTTCACTTCTATAGGATTTTTTTTTCCTGTATTGAGCACATGTTGCTTTATAATAGCTGTTTATCATCTATCTGGTATGAACCAGTTTTTTCTCATTCTCTTTTTACTCTGAAATACTTTCAAATGTGGCKGCAACCTATATAGGTTATTTCCTCTAACTCTTGGTTTGGGGTTTTTGGGTTTTTTTCCTTTTTTGCACTACTGGGGATTGAATTCAGGAGTGCTCTATCACTGAGCTACATCACCAGCCCTTTTTTATTTTGAGACATGGTCTTGCTCTGTTGCTAAGGCTGGATCTCAAGTGTGATGCTCCTGCTTTAGATTCCTGAATCCCTAGAATTTCAGAGGTGCATCACCATGTCCAGTCTGTTTCTCCTAAATCTTAAGGTATTGCTTACATGTTAACTGAAACACAGTGTTTCATATTTGTGTAGACTTTCCCCACCCTCAGAGCAAGACAGTCTCAATTTAAGGCATCATCTCATGAGTTCACAGCACCCTCTGGTAATTATTTAATCTGAGACTATAACATCCATAACTAAAGGTTAACAGCCAAGAATGAGAACCAGAATTCCTTGATCATTACTGAGAGTTGATCTTTTCATTCCCCATTTGGATTCTGGAACTTCTGTCATCAGTACTGACAGATGCTAATAATGACCATGAAGTAAGCCTGTCCCTATGACAAATTCATAGAGTATAAGAACCTTTTTTTTAAAATGAAAAATTTTTTTTGGTTGTAGATGGACACAACGACTTTATTTTTTATTTATTTATTTTTATGTGGTGCTRAGGATCAGAATCAGTGCCTCACCTGCACTACGTGAGCACTCTACCACTAAGCCACAACCCCGGCCCCTAGAAGAGCCTTTTATGGAATAAAGTTGTGGAAGTTTATGATACCARTTAAAGAAAGATTTAAAGTTTTAATGATATTAGTTGTTTAAAGTATCAAGATTTTACAGAAATATTTATCACACAAATTGCTTGCAATCTCTGCCTACCCATTCTTTATAATTTACAGTGTCATTAAAAGTTACRGAACACTTGTGGTTGAACTAATAAGCACAATATTATATAGAATATTTTGGTTTAAGTAATATATAATATAAAATGGTATTTCATAATGAAATATTATTTAAATATCTACCTGGAGACTTGATATTTAGTTACGAACATTTGTGCATTTGAACTAGGGTACTCTAAAAAATATTAATGAGGTATCTTTATGTGCCTATTCAAACAAATATAAATCCTTTAAAAACGTTTTTAACTCATTAAGGTTAACATAATTTCACAGATGATTGGTCAAATAAGTCATAAATTGTATTAAAGAGATTTCTTTAGAGAACCAATTTAGCAAGAAAATGGAAGTGTTCACATATTTTACTGGTATCCTGCTAGCATCAGAACTTCAATGAAGGACTTTATTTATTATTGTACAGCTAGTATAGTACTCATTGTTAATGTGATTTAAAGTCATGATCTTCGACAGCAGTATTACCCAAATGTTCATTAAATGGTCTAGTATTAGTGTTTGTGATATTGCTGTTTATAACAGAAAATATGTGTGTGTGTGTGTGTGTGTGTGTGTGTGTGTGTGTGTGTGTATTTGGTACTGGGGAGTAAACCACAGGCCTTGTGCATGATAAGAAATATATATTTAATCTTAGTCCCCACTCCTGGCACCAAGCTCCAAAAACCTTTGGAAATTTGTTAAGATTAGTAAAGATGAATGGAGCTTCTTTTATTATTATTATTATTATTATTATTACAAACCCCTTTCAGCCATACTTGAGTTTATGTTGATGAGGTGACTTTTGAAAAGCCCAAAGGCTGAGGAGGGACTAGTTACCAAGGAAGCTAACTATGTGATGGTTCTATTGGAACTTTTAGCCCTGACCATCCCAGCCTCCCAAAGGAAAGAAGGGCTGGCAGATTGTTGGGTTAATCAGCAAAGTCTCCACAAAATTTTCCAATGGAAGAGTTTCAGTCTCCTGAAAACATGGAGGTGCTAAAAAGTGGTGTCCCTGCAGAGGACATGGAGCTCTCTGCCTCTTCCCCAGTACTTTGCTCTATGGATCTCTTCCATCTGGCTGTTCCTGAGTTGCATGCTTTATAATAAACTGATAATATAGTAAGTAAACTGTCTAAGAAATGGCCAACATTAAGGAAAATGTTGTAAGAACCTTTGATTTATAGCTACTTAGAAGCACTTGCGATTGGTATCTGAAGTTGCATGGCAGTCTCGTGGGACTCAGTCCTTAACCTGTGCTAACTTCTCGTAGGTAGTGTCAGAATTGAACTGAAATGTAGGATACATAGGTGGTTTCAGAGAATCAGTCAGTATGGGGAGAGAAACCAAACGTGTTTGGTGTTGGAAGTAAAATGTATAAAGGAAAAATAGTGAGGCTGAGTGTGGTATATACCAAAAAAAAAAAAAAAAATGGTTGAGTTTTCCATTTTACTGCTGAAAAACATGTCTGAAAATCAGTAATTTAGAATGCTGTGATAAGTTGATATGACAAAGGCCAAAGTGCTGCCATGGAAGGACATACTTTAAATTTAAGAGGAGGAAAATGAAATAAGACTTTGGAGAAAAATATGCTATAGTAGCTAGAGATTTATATTTATTTCTTTGGGAACATTAATCTTAAATTACACAAGTTTAAACTGAAAAACATTCTCAGAATGTCTTGAATGAAATAAGAGTGAATTTCTTTAATAAAATGTGATCTCCAAGAAAGAAGAGTTGTGGCACAGATCCAGTTAGAACCCACACTCTGACATAACAAGTTATTTTTTGTTTTTACTTCTAGGAAACTTCTGTTTGAAGATTTCCGGACCTGGCTTTCTGACATTTCTAAAATTGACCTGGAATCAACCATTGACATGTCCTGTGCTAAATATGAATTTACTGGTAAGGAAGATAAAACCCTGATGTCTATAAGATTTAAAGGCTTTAATTCCACCATGATAGAAAGATAGCACTAGTACCAAAATACTAGCCTAAATATCCCTATATAACATCAGGATTTTCCTAAGGACCCAGCTCATATACAGAAATAGCCACCCTGTTGGAGGGGATGAGACAGCTGTTCTCTTTGGAAATATGATAAAAGCTATTGACCATTTTTTCAAGGGAAAAAATGCTCATAATGCACATATACACTAACCTTGCAGGCAGTATCATGAGATTCAAAGATAATTAATAGTATAAATTCTGTTCTAAGAGTTCCTAAGAAACAGTCATCTCCCTTAGTGCCATTTCTCTTTATTTCAAATTCAAATGTGAATGCCATGACAGTCCCTGTCACCTCCGTACTCCTTCTCATGAGAGAGATTCATTGTCACCAGTTTGAAAACTGCATTCTTCCAGTTCTCTTTTCAGGACACATAAATGTATTTTTTAATATAAGTTTAGCTTTTAATGTAGAAGGAGAAGTATTTTCTTTTTTTTTTTTTAATGTTATTGTATTTTTTATACCTTTATTTATTTATTTTTATGTGGTATTGAGGATTGAACCCAGTGCCCCACACATGCCAGGCAAGCACTCTACCACTGAGCTATAACTGCAGCCCTAGGAAAAGTATTTTCTTATTGTTTGTTTTTAACTTAGTTATACATATGAAAAGCCATGTCGTATAACAAAATTTTATTTATTAATTAATTGATTCCTTTTATGGTACTAGTATCAAACCCAGGACCTCACATATGCTAAGCAAGTGCTCTGCCAATGAGCTATATAGCTCCAGCCCTTTTCTTTTTGAGACATGGTCTTGCTACATTGCCCCATGTTGGCCTTGAACTTTATGTACTCCTAACTTGGCCTCCCAGGTAGCTAGTACTACAGGTGTRTGCCACTCTCTGCCTGGCCATTTATATTAAATATATTTTTTTCTTTTTATTTTCTAGTAATTTCAAAATTATAGAAAAGTAGCAAGTGTAGTTCAAATCATTTGTTTCCTGTTTTACTTGAAAGTAGATCATAGTCATGGACATCCATAACCCCTGAATACTTCAGTAATTTCTGTAACAAGTATGTTCTCCAACATGATAGTAATAACCCATCAAAATCAGGAAATTAACATTTGTACATTATTCTCATCTAATCTGCAGGCCACATTTACATTTCATCATTTGGTCCTTGGTAGCAAAAGAATCCAGTCAAGGATTGCACATAGTGCTTCCTCATGTGTCTTTTCAGGCTCCCTCAGTCTAGAACAGTAGTTCTCAGTCATTCCTGGACTCTCCAAATCTTGAAGCTTTTGAAGATTTACAGATGAGTTRTTTTGTTAATATTCCTCAATTCAAATTGGTCTTTGAAGTTTCCTCAGGATTGGATTCAGTATGAGCAGCTTAGGCAGGAATATTATTAATGTTGCTGTGTTATCTTCACTGTATCCTACAGTGGTACACAGTTTCTGTGTGTCACATTATTAGTGATATTAACTTTGATTACTTAATTAGGTTTGCTAAGAATAGGTTAGTCCACTATTCTTTTTTCCCTTCATCAGTATGTATTTTGTGGAGAAATACTTTAAGATTAGGTAATTATCTCTTTTCTCACTGAACTTTGATTCACTCTTTTAGTGGTGTCTTGCTAAATTATTGCAGCAAAGGTTGCCAAATGTTGATTTTATAATATAATTATTTCTTCTGTTTATTAGCTGTCATTTTACTGTAAAGAAAATCTTTCTCCCCACTTTTAATCATTTAATCATGTTGATATGGATTATGTAATGGGTTGTTATCAGTTACTATTATTGTATTGATGCTTATATCATCCTTGATCAAGGAGTGTATCTTCAAACTGACTTCTGTCTCCTTTCCTTAGTCCCATCATGCTTTTATTTTTTAATTTCTGCAGAGCAAGATTTTCCCATGCTTATATTACTGATGCCTAGGTCCTAGAACAACTTAGGGTCAGCCATTATTCCAAAGAGCCTTGGTTCCTTTTAGTGAAGAATGATACTTAAAAACTAAGCTCTAGGCTCTAAGTGTCCTTGCCACTATGGTGCACTATTCCCAGACCCTTTTATCAGAAAGAGGTAGCCCATACTTGTATACATATCAAGATACATATGGATGCATAAACATACATTTACATTTGTAAGTTTTTCTGTACCTATGTAAGTCTATACAGATATAAGAGACTGAATTTACATTGATCCTCCAGTTTGAATTGAACATCCCAGGGTTCCTTCTAAATTTCTTTCCCGTATTTGTAATTCCCTTCTTCCACAGTGAGAAACCTGGTTTCCATTATCTTTAATACATTTATTTATTGGAACAATCATTCCATGTTTATATGATCTCAGTCCCGTGAAGCCTTCTCTCCCCATCTCATTCCACATAGATACCTACCTTGCTAAGGCTAAAAGCCCATCAGATGGCAAATGTAGCTTAAGGAGTTAACAGGAACYGGTACTAAAAGATCTTTATAAAGTATTCTTTAAAATAGCCAAGTAATAGAAACAACTTAGTTAACAAATAGGAAAMCAATTAAAAGGGAAGGGAAGTAAATCTATATATAATTCATATAGAATAATTGTGCAGCCATTAAAAGTGATGTCAGATCTGTATGTTGATGTGGAAAGATTCTTGCCATGTAATAAAAAATGTAGGCCTCAAACAACCACTGTAGGAGAACATTATTTTTTTAAAGTAAATGCATACATATAAGAAAAATACTGGAAGAATACATATAAAAATATTGTATGTGCACTTTTCAGTATAGAGTTTCTGTGTTGGCAGTTTTATTTTTATACTTACAAAAGAAGAAGAAATGTCATTTTAAAGGCAGGGGACATTTAAAACTGGAGCTGGCATTAAAGATGAATATCAGAAGGACTGATCGTTGATGCATAGTAAAGTGGCAGCAGCTCATTGTCTGCAAGAATCTGAGGTGTGCATTCAACTATTGCAGATGCCCTGCTCTGCCATGATGATGAGCTGGAGGGGCGTCGAATTGCCTTCATTCTGTACCTTGTTCCTTCCTGGGATAGGAGCTTGGGAGGCACCCTAGACCTATACAACGTTGATGGTAAGTTAAGTTTGTGTTCATCACTGCCACTGACCACCTCTGAATTAATCCCTGTTGATTAAGCACCACCATTCTTATATACACTGTGTGTCCTCCCTAAAGGGCGTGGAAGCTATTCATTATAGTGACTGCCTCAGGAGGAATTGAAGCCAGCCCTGACAACCACCTCTTGAAATTATACTTAAAGTGAGCATTACTCTGAAAGTTAATTAGAATTGATTTAAGGTGAGAAATAGCTTCTGCTTCTGATACTGACTGTGGAAAGGTAGAAAGCATACAAAGCCACCTGTAGTTGGTCTGCATGATAGGAAGTCAGGGATTTTTTTGAATGATTGACACCAGAGGTTGACACTAGGAGAATTTTCAGAACCTCCCCCAGCCCTTATCAATGGCAGATGTGTGATACAGTAAGAATACATGTCACCTAGCAGAACTAGCAAGTATGAGTGAAACAGATGAAGGGGTTAATCTTTCAGGATCTGAAGAGTTTTATAAATCTAAATACCTTAGAAATTTGAGGATTGTCAAGAGACGAGGCAGCCTGGGGATGGTTAATGATAATGAACCACCTTTGTGGATGTGTTCTCTCCYGGCGCAGAACACTTTCAACCGAAGCAGATTGTCAAGTCTCTTATCCCTTCATGGAACAAACTGGTTTTCTTTGAAGTGTCGCCAGTATCCTTTCACCAGGTAAAGATCGTAAGCCACAAATTACATAGAGCACTAAGGATCATGCTTTTCTGTCATCTACTATCTAAATGTGACAGCTTCCTGTTGGGCTTATTATCTGACCAGGTCGTTTTAGTACCTAGCTTGAAGGAGCCTCAGATTAATGTGCCTTAGCTGATGCCCTCTTTCTTCATCTTTGTGTTGATGTGCTGCTGTCTTGTCCTTTCAGGTGTCTGAAGTTCTCTCTGAAGAAAAGTCACGTTTGTCTATAAGTGGCTGGTTTCATGGTCCTTCCCTGACCAGGCCTCCCAACTACTTTGAACCCCTCATTCCTCGGAACCCTCACATCCCCCAAGATGTAAGGATAAATTATTGGAATTCTTATCTTTGAGCTATAGTATTTTATTTGTTTTTCTGATTTTAAGATGAGCTATTTTTGATAATGAAACTAGATTTTGAGCTTGCCCTTTCCACTTTTAAAATTTTAAATAATTTTTTGTAGTGTTTTTTTTAAACCTAGGGCATTATATATGCTAGGCAGGCACTCTTATCACTGAACTACATCCYGAGGTCTTTTTATTTTATTTTCAGACAGTGTCTCACTAATTTGTCCAAGTTGGCCTTGAACTTGGGATACTCCTCCCTCAGCCTCCCAAGTAGCTGGGATTACAAGTGTGTACCACTGTGCCTAGCTGTTTAATAGGAGAAACTTATAAAGTGAGGATTTGCATATATCTTACTAATGTGAAATAATGTAAAAACAAATGCTGCAGTAATAATTAAATCATCTTTTGCATGTGTGATTTCTGTAAAAGCATGAAATTTTATATGAGTGGATCAACCCTACGTACCTTGACATGGATTACCAAGCTCAGATTCAAGAGGAATTTGAAGAACGGTCTGAAATTCTCCTGAAGGAGTTTCTTAAGGTAGGTCAGGCACTGAGCTACATCCTCACCCCTTTTTTGGTCTTGAGACGGGATATTGCTAAATTGCCCAGGCTGGCCTCAAACTTGTGATCTTTCTGCCTCAGCCTTCTGAATAGGTAGGATTATAGGCATATACAACTGCACCTGGCCCTGTTCTGTATATCTTGTTTGGTATACAGTCTTACTTGAATGGGTGAATAGACAGAATTCAAAATGTTAAACATTGGTATCAGTCATATGTCTGGTAGGTTGAGTCTCCCAGTTCCCTATCCTTAATGGTCCAAACACACAAAACTTCTACGTTGAAAGGGAGTTGTGTCTAGTTGCCTTTCTATTCATTTGACGAATATGGTGCTTATTATTGTTTTATAATAGATTACTAATTATARTTGATTTACACCTACTATTGAGTGTTTGACAATGATGAGGCAGATCTGAAGTCAGAAAACTGATCRTGTTCTGACTCTAGTTTTACTAACCTGAGCAAATCACTAAATCTGTGTATCTGTTTTATCATTAATTATACTGGGATAATACCTGCCATGTGTTTCTTGCAGAGTTACTGTGAGGGCCGCATGAGATAACCTGTTGGTAAGGTGCTTCACAGTTGACCATGAGTCCCATGGAGTTAGACTTCCAAAAGGAGCTTCTCCTCTATGAAAAGGAGAAGAGAGATTTTACATTCTCTCACACATAGCTTTCTCTCAATTTTCTCTGTTTCTTTCCTTCTCTCTCTCTCAGATTGTTATAGATGACTTTAGAATGTTATAGAATTTGAAAATTATAGTAAATAAATTTGCTTAACCCTATTTAATTGAGCTTACTTAAACCATGCTGTCCTTTATCTTTTACATATTTATAACTGTTAAGAAGCCATAGGAAATTGCATTAAACAAATAAATTCAAAGCTTCTTGTGATTGTTTCAGTAGATTAATGAGTTTCTTGTAGTGTACTTGATTTTTTTTTTTGTACCAGGGATTGAACTCAGGGGCACTCAATCACTGAGCCACATCCCCAGCCCTATTTTGTATTTTATTTAGAGACAGGGTCTCACTGAGTTGCTTAGCGTCTCGCATTTGCTGAGGCTGGCTTTGAACTCGTGATCCTCATGCAACAGCCTTGAGAGCTGGTGGGACTACAGGTGTGTCCAATGCTAATTGCTCCTGGTTTTGTTTTTGGGGTTTTTTTTTTGCAGGAGATTACCARGAAGTGAACTCACGGACACTTGACTACTGAGCCACATCCCCACCCCTATTTTGTATTCTATTTAGAGAAGGGTCTCACTGAATTGCTAAGCACCTTGCTGAGGCTAGCTTTGAACTTGCCATCTTCCTGCCTCAGCCTCCTGAGCCACTGAGGTTACAGGCCTATGCCACTGCACCTGGCATTCATTGCTTCTTTATTGCTTATTTTCCAGCCGGAGAAATTTGCAAAAGTCTGTGAGGCCTTGGAGCAAGGAGATGTGGAATGGAGTAGCCGTGGTCCCCCTAACAAAAGGTAGAACTCGTCCTCTGAGATTTTTGCATCTGCATTTAGCGCCTACTTTTTTTTGTCTGAACAGCTCACTTCCAACAATAGGACCTTAGCTTTAACAACCATTTGTTTCAAGGAGCATCCATTTTGTTAGGGACATCCAGATCTTAGCAAAATCTCGCCATTGTAGTAACTTTGTTTTAGTAACCTGTGCCAAGATTTAGGGGAAGAGGCACAAAGTTGATGATGACCTTTTATTCCATGAGTAATTTTACATGTGGAAATTGATGCAACTTGACATTATTGCTTTTCAGGTTTTATGAGAAAGCTGAGGAGAGTAAGCTCCCTGATGTACTGAAGGACTGTATGGAGTTATTTCGCTCGGAGGCACTGTTTTTGCTGCTCTCCAACTTCACAGGCCTGAAGCTTCACTTCTTGGCACCTTCAGAAGAGATTGAGGACCAAAAAGAGGGAGAAGCAGCCTGTGCTGCTGATAGCACTGAAGAAGGAACTAGCCAGAGCTCCTCTGAGCCCGAGAATAATCAGGCAGCCATTGGGAGCAACAGCCAGCAGAGCCATGAGCAGACAGACCCAGTGCCAGAAGACAACAAAGCAAAGAAAGGTGAGCTGCTGTTAGGATTTGTCCTTGTTTACCATTAACCATTTATCATTTATTCATTCAACAAATATTTTTTGAGCATCTGCTACTGTGAGCCCCATTTTAGGGGCTGGAAAACAAAATGGACAAGGACAAGATCTCTGTTTCTCTGGAGCTTACATTGCAGTAGGAAGGGACAGCGGTTAAATGTTTCTACACACAAGAAGTATGATAAGTGCTGTGCATAGCATTGTAATAGGGGCATRTGATAAATGACTGAGCCCCTCCAGAAAAACCTCCCTGAGGAGCTGCCGTTTATTTAAGCTCAGATCTAAATTACAGGAAGAATCTGCAAGAAGAAATTCTAGGTAAGGGAACAGCTAGTGCATTGTATTAGGCTAAGAATAGTACACATGGTGGAGAAAATAGTATAAAGGGTGAAATAATCTTAGGCTATAGCTGCTACAATTGCTCTAAAACACATGAACGTGAAGGAGAGGAAGGCTAGCAACTAATTTCTGCCAAGACCAAAAGTAGCCTAAGAAAACTTGCTTGAATTTGGACTGGTTTATAGAGGGAAATTATTATAAACAGAGGAACTTAAATCATCTACAAATARGATGGAAAAGAAAGCAATACAGGCAGTAATGCTTCTTTGGAAATTTTGGAACCATTAACCAAGCTACAAATTCAGCTTAGAGCTCTCAGCATCTGTTGACCATTTAGATTGGAAAATCCGTCACCCAGTCACTTTGCTCAGTCTTACATGCCTTGTTTCCACTTTGCTTCTTTCAAAGGACCCTGTGCAGCAAGTGGGCAGACCTGTGGAAACAAAATCATCTTTGTAAGATGCTAACCATGAGCAACAACACTCACTCTGTGGCCTCCCAGAACTGACTAACCAGGCACTTCAGTCACCATGGATATTTAGGAAAACTAGCCCTACATGGCCTTTTCTGTGCTACTCAATATATAGGACAACCTCTTTTTTCATAGATTAGTTTTCCTTGGTAATTGATACTGGCATCTATGCCTAGAACCTAAAAGGAATTTGGGTGAAGGTCAGTGAAGAATCAAGGATTAAAAAAAATCTTCTGTTCCTTTTTGCTTTCATTTTTATGGGGACCTGCAACTTAGAAAAAAAAAATCTGTATGAGAAATCAAAAGATTTATTTTGGTTTTTGAGCATCTATTGTATGTAAGGCCCTAGGCCAAAAATTAAGTAGGGAATATAAAAACGAATTAGAAAGATCAGTTTACARAGTTTACCTGAACAAAGCTATAGTTTGTTTTTAAGTAAAAGGTGTAAAATTGCTTTGTGTATAATAGCAGCATTTTGGACATAGTTAGGGCATGACTAGTCAGATAACAAAAACCAATACAAACCTGGTAATTTTAAGGACATTTAAAATATAAAGACACATGTCAATTTCAGAATGTTGAAAACAAATAAATAAAGGGAAAATAATAATCACCTAAAGGTGGCTACTATTAACATTTGTAATATGTTCCAGTCTTTTTTTTTTTTTTTTTTTTTGCTTTGTAGGCATGTACACATGTACAGGGTTTGTGTGTGTTTATAATGGGATTATACCATATATGTTGTTTTGTAATATTTTTTCACACATAGTATTTTATAATATACTCTTTCTTATATCTTTCCTTTTTTTTTTTTTTTTTTTTGGTACTGGAGATTGAACCCAGGGGCATTTATCACTGAGCTACACCCCCATTCTTTTTTATTTTTTGTTTTGAGAAAGTGTCTCACTGAGTTGCTGAGGGTCTCACTGAATTGCAGAGACTGGACTCAAACCTGAGATCTTCCTGCCTCAGCCTCTGAGTCTGTAGTTCATTTTAAGAATGCACAGCTAAAAGTTTTGAAAACCACTGTTATAATTTTTAATGACTACAAGGTATTTCATCACATGAACTTAACCAGTCCTGTGTAGTTATTCAGATTGTTTCTAGTTCTTCACTATTGTAATTTCTTAAAATAACTTCTTAAAAGTGCACATTGTTTAGTGCAGTGGGCATAACTTGGGAAACTGAATCAGGAAGATTGCAAGTTCGAGGGCAGCTGCAATATCTTAGTGAATTCCTGACTCAAAATAAAAATTAGGAAGAATGGAGATGTACCTCAGTGGTAGAGCACCTTTGGATTCAGTCTCCAGTATACCATGAAAAAAAAATGCAAGTGCTATGTCAAAACTGCTCAGAGTTTTAAATCAACTGGCGAACTGCACTCCCCCAAACTGAAATCATCCCTGCCCTCCCAGCAGCATTGTACATGACACTTCCCTTCTTCCTGGGAAACTAATTATGTGTTTTCTTTTCCACCTGTGCTTATTATGTTGGTGAAATAGTGTATACCTTTCACTGATTAATAATGTGTGGTTGTAAAATTTCCTTGTATTTATTACTTAGTTTTCTTTTATAATTGGGGGTTTTGTCATTTTCTTATTGGTTGTGAAAAAATGTTATGTATAGGAACCTTGTCCCTCTGTCCTGTTGTAATAGTTTGCTTTTTTAAGTTTTGTTCTACTTGTTTTAAACTTTTTTCCTTCATGCTGGGGCTTGAACCTAGGGCTTCTTGTGTACTGGGCAAATAAGCACTACACCACTGAACTCTACTCCCAGCCCACAAGTTTTATAAAATGTTTTAGTAATCAGATCTGTCTGCTTTTCATGGCTTCTGGGTTTTGTTTTGTTTTGTTTGTGTGTGTGTGTGTGTGTGGTGACATGTTTAGAAATCTCTTCCTTACTTCAAGAGAATATAAAGTAATTCTTAGGTTTTATTTATTTTGCATAATTCTTTACTTCATCTGAAATTTATTATAAAGAAATTGAAATTCAACCTCCCTCCCCAGCACCAGAGTTAGACCCAGTAATTTCTTGTCATTTGTAGGACTGGATGGTAAAACCATGCATTGGTGGCTTGTGCCTGTAATACCAGTTACTCAGAAAGCTGAGGCAATAAGATCAAAAGTTTAAGGTCAGCCTGAGCAATTTAGCAAGACCTTGTCTCAAAATTTGAAAAAAGGTAGCTCAGTGATAGAATAATCGGGTTTCAATTCCCAGTCCAAAAAAAAAATTATTTTTAATAAATAAAATTTAAAAGACTCGGGGTAGAGCTGGGGACATAGCTCAGTTGGTAGAGTGCTTGCCACACATGCACAAGGCCCTGGGTTCAATTCCCAGCATCACTAAAAAAAAAAAAAAAACAAACAAATAAGACTCAGGGTATATCTCAGTGATAAAGCACTGGCTTAGCATACACAAGGCCGTGAGCTCAATCCCCAGTACTGCATAAATTTTAACATTTATTTTTTTCAGTTGTAGGTGGACACAATGCCTTTATTTTATTTTTATGTATGCTGAAGATCAAGCCCAGTGCCTCATGCATGCTAGGCAAGCACTGTATCTCTGAGCCACAATCCAGCCCAAAGTTTTTTTAAAAATTAAAAAAATAACCAAATAGTGGAACAGTAGATCAGTTGAAGGTTTAGGGGAGTGGGTTCCTCTTAGTACCTTACATAATTTTCATTTCCTTACAATCTAACATTTATATCAGAGTTATTTTTAATATCTACTGGCCCTTCTTTTGTTTTTCTAAGAGTCAAGTGTCCCCATGTGCCAGGGAGAGCTGAGGCGTTGGAAGACTGGGCATTACACTTTAATCCACGACAACAACAAGACAGAGTTTGCCCTGGACCTGCTTTTCTACTGTGGCTGTGAAGGTAAGAGGGAGGAGGRAAAGCAGTGAGTGTTTCCTTAGATGGCAGCCTCCTGAGTGACCCTCTCCAGCCGAATAAATTCAAAAGTAGTTTGCTATGGTCAAGATCTCAGGTCACAGAATCTTAACAGTGCAGAAGGTTGTTGGGGGTCATGAATTACTATCTTTCATGTCAAAATGGATTCTATCTGTGACTGGAGAAGGGGGAGATGGACCTTGCCATAATTTTACTCCAGTAAATTGTGGACTTATTCTGGATTTGGCCCACAGCTTTTGATGCCCTTTAATTATCTCTTAATTTTCTTATTCAGTGTTGATCCAAGTAGGCCTGCATCCCAGTTCAGCTCTCTTGGGAAAGTAGTCATTTAGGGGAAAAGGGAACCCCTGAAAAACAGATGATAAACTCAAGCTCCCAAGTCTTAGAGCCGGTGACTGCTGAGTCCCAGATCCCTCACTTTTTAGCAGGTGATGTGACTCTTGCAGCAAGAGCTCTCTGAGTGTTATGTTTTCCCCTTGTCAGGCTGGGAGCCAGAATATGGTGGCTTTACCTCTTACATTGCCAAAGGTGAAGATGAAGAGGTAAGTTGTTTCTAATAGCAGACTCTCCTTTTCAGTTCTTGAGAAAGCTTTCCTTCTCCATTRACCTTATCTTTATGACCTCTGCAGTGTCTTTAGTTGATAAATCTTGCCTTGCGATGGTTCTAAGTTCTATAAGCAAATACTCAGCATGCAATAAAGATGCTAAGCATTTATTCTGAGAAATCCAGATTAAGAGGCTGTGGTACACTCCCTTGAGTCTTTCAGTATAGCTAGATGTAAATGATTCACACTGTTGTGTGACCATCACCACCATCCATATCAACCTAGACCTTGAGCTTAGAGTTATGTACTTGCATTTTGATTTCATTAGGTAGATTCTTTCTCGGTCTGTGCTGCTGGAATAGGGCCTGTTGGAAAATGCCTTGGCAACCAGAGAAAAGCTCATCTCCTAGTAAAGGGTCTTTCAAAGGACCCCCATCCCCAGCTTAGATACTTGATGTGGAAACCACGTGTCCATGGTGAACTGTTGAAGACTTGCGAATGTGCTCTGTGTTCTGATGTGGCTTTGTATTTGCCTATTTCAGCTGCTAACAGTGACTCCAGAAAACAATTCTGTGGCATTGATCTACAGAGATAGAGAGACTCTGAAATTTGTCAAGCATATTAACCACCGAAGCCTAGAACAAAAGAAAACCTTCCCAAACAGAACTGGTTTCTGGGACTTTTCATTTGTGTATTATGAATAACAGGACGGGGCAAAGCTGAACAAAAAAGTGACCACCACTACTGGAAAAGTGAGGCATGGAATGAAGGAAAGGTACATGGTGGCCTGTTTGCTAGTGGGTTGTACGGGGTCTCAAATCTGGGGCCTCATGCATGCCAGGCAAGTGCTCTACCACTGAGCCACATCCCCAGCCCATCTGCTAGTGTTTTAAAATGGTTTTTCCTTTAATAGGACTCATGATTTGTCCTCAAGACCTTGAGCTTAGAGCTATGTACTTGCATTTTGATTTCAAAAAGGTTTTTAATTTTGTTTCATGTTGAATTCTTCAATTTCACAGTGAGTGCTTCATTAATTTTTTTTCCAATTTCAGTGATGTTCATCATTCTTATTGTAAAATTATGTAACAAATTTAGTCACTTATTTAAGTGCGTTGCTCAGTGGGACTGAGTGCATTCACACTGTTGTGTAACCATCACCACCATCCATATCCCAAACCCTTCCATCTCCCCAAACTGAAACCCTGTACCCACTGAACAATAGCTCCCTGCTCTCCCATGCCCCACCCCCACCATTCTACTCTTCCTCTGTTAATATACTCTCATCCCTCAGAAGAGGAATCATGGAGCATTTGTCCTTTTGTGACTGCTTATTTCACTTAGCGAAGAGTCCTTGATACATCAGTGTTTCTTTTTTAACTCGCGTGATTGCAGCTTCCATGCTTCCCAGTTAAATCAGTCTAGAAATCACAAAAGCTTATTTCATGTTGAGTCCTCAAGTTCTGGTACAGTTTGAATCATTGCGCTTCCTGCGGCTGTCCACTGTGATTTACAGACCAGGGTGGACATAGATGGATAGTACTGCTTCCTTGGAAAAGGTCTAACCTAAAACCAAGCAAGACATGTCAGGCTGGTAAGAGGACAGGCTGCTTATTGCCATATGTAGTTACTTCCAGATACCCTCTGCCTTCCCACCTTGAGGTTGTGGCTTCTGTGTAATTATATGAGTCTAGCTTCACATGTGGCTTTCATTTTCCTACAGTATTAGGTACTGTAGAACTAGTTGTCTGTTTTTTCTTTTTAAGAGATCCAGTGCTCAAAGCTACATGGGAATGTCAAGAGCTTGTCCATTTTACATTTTTCCTCAGCTGCTCCAGCGGGCTCTATCATAACTCCTTCTGGTGTGGTTTTTTTTTTTTGTTTTTTTTTTGGGGGGGGGGGGGTGTGCACTGATGGATGAAAGAAGCTGTTCTAACTCCATCTCTAGTGTGTCCCTCTATTTCCTTTCTCTTTTTCCATCTATTTCTTACTGTTGCAGTAGTTTTTAGTGTCGGTTACAAACTAGTAGGAAAAGAACTGGACCTTTAAATGTCTCAACCACTTCTCTTTCATCTCCCGAGTACTAATTCTTTTCTGAAGTTTGCAATTAAGTTGATGGTTTCTTTTTCTTTTTTTTTTTACATACCTAAATCAGTAAAACACATTTTATCACGTGTTTCCATTAAATGGGTATTTGAATTTTATACATGTAGTACTACTAGTTCTAAAACAATTTTATGTTATAAAACAAATCCTAGTTTTTAAATGAGATAAAAATGTCCAGAGTTCTAGTATTGTCTTCCCACACCCACAAAGTATGTGAACCATTTTACACACTATTTTAGAGACCACAATTCTTTAACCACAGCATAGTGATGTTCAAGTGGGATTGAAGATACTTTGGTACCAATAGCTAATTTTGAAGCTTGCCTTTTCTAAGTTCCTGGGGCCTGAAGGTCACCTGTACTATTACTGCTTTCACTCACTTGCTTTCTAGGGTATTTTCCTAAACAGGGAGGGTAAGGTTATAGTTAATACCTTCATTCAGTGGCTTAACCCCAGCAAGACCCAGGGAAAGGTGCTGGGTAGGTGAAACCCTATGTGTGCCAAGCTTGGGAAATGGTGTGAGGTTATGGCTGTCATTGCTGTCTAAGGCCACCCAACTTTTCCAGTTCTGGAGAGCTGGGTCTAAATCTCAGATAATACTCACATGTGAGAATGTGCTTATTAGTTTCTCCTTTTTTCTCCATGTGCTTATAGTCCACGCAACAGAATCTTTTACACTACAGAAACAGATTTGGGTGTTTAAGGGAAGAGAATCCCTAAGGGCCTAATGTTGCTGTCAGTTCCTGCATCTACAAAGTTCAGGACTGTCGAGGAGAAGGTAATTTGCAGATTGCTTCTCTGTCCTGAGAATGTGGTAATTAAGAAGCAGCTTTCCTCAATAGTCAGGCATCTCATGATGATGTTCAGTCAACGACAGACTGATGGCAGACTGACAGACGATGGCAGTCCCCTAGATTATAACGGACATGACAGATTGCTAATGCCTAGTGAAACCATCACCTCTGTTGCAAAGCATTCCTCACATCTAGTGATGCTGCTGTAAACAAGCCTGTGTTGCCAATTGTATAAAAGCATACAGCACATGTATATGTACGGTATGTAATACTTAATGATAAATAAAGTGACTATTATTGTGTATTATATTTTTTAGCAATCATTACAGTGTGCTTATATCTAAAAAAAAAAAAAAAATCACCATAAAACAGTCCTCAGGTGGATCCTTGAGAAGGTATTCCAGAAGACATTGTCACTACATAGGATGACAACTCCATGTGTGTTGGTGCATTTCCTAGTGGGACAAGATGTGCAGGTGGAAGAGAGTGATAGTGATGATCGTAACCCAGTGTAGGTCTAGGCTAATATGTTTGTGTCTCAGTTGATTTTTTCAAAATTTAAGAAGTAAAAATTAATAGAAAGAATCTTATAGAATTAAGGATATAAGGAAAATACTTTCCTGGATGTGGTGGCACAGGTCTGTAATCCAGTTACTCAGGAGAGAAGCAGGAGTATCACAAGTTCAATGCCAGCCTCAGCAACTTAGTGAGACCCCTCTCTAAATAAAAAATTTTAAATAGGGCTCAGGTTATAGCTCAGTGGTAGAACACTGGGTTCAATCCCCAACACCACAAAAAGAAAACTACTTTTTATAGCTATATAAAAAGAAAAATAAAAAGTATTTTTAGGCCGGGCACAGTGGTGTAAGCCTGAATTCCAGCAGCTTGGGAGGCTGAGGCAGGAGGATCGTGAGCTCAAAGCCAGTCTCAGCAAAAGGGAGGTGCTAAGAGCAACTCTATGAGACCCTGTCTCCAAATAAAAATACAAAATAGGGCTGGGTATGTGGCTTAGTGGTTGAGTGCCCTGAGTTCAATCCCTGGTATCCCCCACCCAAAAAAGTACTTGTAACATGTTATACAAGTTTGTAGCCTAGAAGCACTAGGCTATACCATATAGCATAGGTGTGTCGTAGGCTAAATAAACCATGTAGGTTTGTCAAGTACACGGCATGATATTTGCACAACGAAGAAATTGCCTCAACTTATGACTACTTTTTTGATCCCCGTTATTTTTTAGGGCCTGGAGCCAATGTTGACAACTATTAAATAGCAAAAGAATTAAAACATGAACAACCTTTTTTTTTTTTTTTTTTTTTGCAGTACTGGGGATTCAACTCAGGGCCCCACACATGCTCAGCAAGCACTCTGGCACTGCACTGTATCTCCAGCCCTTTTTCAAATTTCATTTTGAGACAGGATCTCACCAAGTTTCCCAGGCTGGCTTTGATCCTCCTGCCTCAGCCTCCTGAGTGACTGGGATTACAGATGTGCACCACCATGCCCAGAAAACTTGGGCTGTCTTTTACTGCTTTTTTTTTTTTTTTTTATTTTAGTTTTCAGCGGACACAACATCTTTGTTTTGTATGTGGTGCTGAGGATCAAACCCCGGGCCGCACGCATGCCAGGCGAGCGCGCTACCGCTTGAGCCACATCCCCAGCCCTCTTTTACTGCTTTCAAGTTAAACCTGTGATGTTCACCTCTATGATATATGGCATCTTTTTGTTAATTCTTTAATAGTGAACCTCCAATTCTTAGAACTCCCTTCAGTAAAGGAAGATTTTTTYCCCCAGAGGATAGCTTTGTTTTTTTCAGATTATATAATGAGGTTCATTGTAAACAATTAAAACCACATGTAAAAATACAAAGTCAAGGTCACGTGGATGGTAATCCAGCTACCGGTAGCTTTGTAAGGTATCAATGAGGCCTTGCTGAGCCACACTTCCCAGAGTCCCCTCCCTGTTTTCCCTCAGTGAGAGCCACAAACTGCCAGACTGAGGGCCAAATGAGGCAGCAGCCATTTAGCAGCTCACATGTCGTTACTCCCCCTGTTGGCAGGAGTCAGCATCCTTCAGCTCTGACGAAGGCTCTGCAGAATGCCCTGACCATCAAGGTCTGGGGCAACAAGGACTGACAGGCTTCAACCTGTCCTCCAGGGCTCCAGCTCCTGTCTGTGGGTTCCAGCTTGTTCTCTCCAACCTTACATCCTGACTACCTGCTCTGTGGGCTTCAGGCTGCAGCATCTCACAGAGAGCGAGCAACACTGCTTGCATCACCACCACCACCACCACCACCACCACCACCACCACCCCGCCCCGCAGTTAAAGCTGAATCTCTTTTATATGTTAACTGTCATGGAAATTAAGAATATATTTATGAAGCTGTTTTTGTAAACATATTTGAATTTCTGTTAATAGGAAGAAAAATGTTTAAAGGTAATCCTGTAAATAATCAAATAACGGTCCCTAATTTTAAGGATGTAGAAAATAAAGCCTGGAAGAGAAAAGAGATCATTAAATTTTGAACCTGGCATGACTGCTACTCAGACTCCACTGAATGTGGTTGTTTATTCCCCACAAAATATCAGAAAAAAAAAATCCAACCTGGGGCTACCTCTCCCAAACCTGTACCTCTCCATCCCCATTACATGCTTAACCCTACTAAAACTAACTGAGAAAGTATCCTGTTAAGAAGATCCTTCTGGGAGCAGATCCAGGGATGTGAATTGCAGGCACAGCCTGCCTGGACCARGACAGCACAGTCTCTGATGAAAAACCAGTCCACACGGACAGTGGGAAAACAATTTTAGGAGAAGCAGAGTTCTGTACCAAATAAAAGAAGACTCAGGAGCCAGAGCATGTAGTATGGGCAGCGTCCATACAGGAGAGGCAAAATGCAAAACACCAGACAACAACAAGTATCTTGTATTTTAATTTCAAAGTGAAATTGGCAATAATTGATAATTTAGTTCTGTGATCACAGGACTCTGCATTGGCAGTTTTGAAACATTAATGACAACGTTGAAGATCATTTTTGTAAAGTACCTSTAAGGCTGCATAATAATTGTAAAGTTCCTGGTGAGGTTTCTGAGGCTCCTGATGGGCTTTCTTAGCACAGACAAGCCCACAGACAGCAGCAGCTSTGTCTCTGTGCTCAGCTTTGGCTTAACACTGGTGAGGATGAAGCTGATTAAGATACAGGCCCTATTCTCACTTAACAGGGGCTTAAGATTTTATACACAATGTAATAGGAGCTAAAGAACATACAATAGGGCTGGGGTTGAGGCTCAGTGGTAGAGTGCTTGCCTAGCATGTGTTCGATTGCCTAGCACTGGGTTTGATTCTCAGCACCACATACAAATAAATAAAGATCCATCAATAACTAATAAAAATTTTTTAAAAAGAAAGAATAGACAATGGGACCCGCAAGGTCTCTTGAGCAAAGAAGCTGTGAGCTGAGCCTCAATGTATCGGATAGGCAGGCTCAGTGGCAAATACTAAAAGCCCATAGAGTACCTGAGCTTGACTGGRGGGTGATTCTTTTATTTAAAGGGATGCTTGCATAAGACTAAAAACTTTCCTCCCAGATACCAGAATCCTATAAATCAGATTTTTGGGGTTTTTTTATATATATATTTATTTAATTTTATGTGGTGCTGAGGATCGAACCCAGGGCCTCGCACGTGCTAGGCGAGCGCTCTACCGCTGAGCCACAATCCCAGCCTCTCAAAATCAGTTTTTAATTGAAGGTTGTGTTCACTTAGAGCTTTGAAATTCAGCAATGAACCAGGCAGGGCCTAGCCACAAGAAGGCACTCAGATGCTGTCAGGATAGAAGGGCAACAAAGCAGTAACCGATTAACTCCTTTCTGATAGTCATGTTCTCTAAGCCGATGATTAATGTTCTGATAGTTAATGTTCTCTAAGGGTGATTTCTAAGAAAAAGGCAGTTGAGTGTTTCAAGAATGTTTCCATGTCATCCAGTCTTTACTTGCTTGGGAACGGTTTGGAGTAACAGAAAGAACCATGACTATATAGTTTCAAAACTTCATACCATAACTTACCCAGCTGAGGGATCCTGTCAGGACATTCTACCTTCCTAGGCTATAAGGCCTCAGCATCAAATAGAAGCATTTGTAACCTACAGAGGACCTGACCTGACCTAAAGCCTTGTCAAATATTTTTAGGTCTCTAAAAGCTTTTTGGCTAAGAATGACCTCTGATGAGATTACCCTATTAGATTCACAAAAGATGAATGCTACTATGTAGTTTAAAACTAGCACCAATTAAAGATTTTACCCTCAAACRGTTTAAGTTAGGGCTGGAGATGTAGCTCAGTGCTTGCCTAGCATGCATGAAGCCCTGGGTTCAATCCTCAGTACTGCCCAAACAAAAACAAACTAGTGCAACTTCAGTATGGCTACTAATTCTGTGACCTTGACAAGGAATTAGTCTCTGCTGCTCAGATTCCTTATCTTTGAGGCAGACATAAGGCTACTTACTTATTACTTAAGGGAAATAATACAGAATGAGTGGAAAACTCTAGCTTATAAAATTGAAAATGCAAAATGATGTGATTATAGGACATATTCTCATAAAATTGGGACTTTATAAACCTTCATTTCAGATACAGGAGAAGGGGAATCCTAAGGGCCAAATGAAGATGACTAGTAAAATTAGCTTACATCAACCTCAAGGCGAAGATCCAGTTTCCCTCCTCACTTATGAATGCTATTAAGATGTGAAAACTAATTACTGTTACAAAAATTAAGCCAGTCCAGAATTCTACCTCAGGCCAGATTTTTACCTCCTGGGAAGGGACTGTCCCTTTGCACATTGACTTTCTCCTCGTAAGCTGGCATTCAGCTGGACTGCATTTCCTGGTCTCCTTTGCATTTGTGGCCAAGTTACCCAGTGGAGTGTGAGTGCAGTGACTGCTCTTCCCGACCGAAGCTTCCAGCAGAAGGAGGCCTGTTTCCTCCTCACTCTCCCCATTTTCTACTGGCTTGGATATAAATAACTGCAAGGCCCTAGAACAGCCCTTGTCCAATATGGCTCCACTCGAGAGAAGGAAGCCTCTGAAGCCCAAGGGCCTCCATTATATGCAGTGAACATGCACCTAAACCATTTTCCTTTGGTTTGTTTCTATACAGAAATCCCTGTATGATGAAAATGAGTCATAAATTTTGAGATGTTAAAGCAGCAGCCATTAACTCAACTAAGCTAATTCTTCTTTAATATAGATTGGTTTACACTCACTTTTCAGTTAAAAAAATTGAATATCTACATTTTTTGTTCTTCTCCACCAAATACAAATGACTTATGTAATTCTGATACCATTTTGCAATCAGTCAACAACCAAGTCCAATATGTTTTAATTTTAATGAAAAAGTAGATAATCTATTTGAAAATTACAAATTCAATTACAATTTTAAGGGGAAAAAACATAATATATATCGACTTTACATAAACAAAAACTGGACTCTGAAGCCCTGACATTTAAAATGTACTTGCCCTCCTTCCTACAGATCTAGCAAGTACAATTGATCTAAAACCAGAAAGGGAGTACGGTTCTCAGATGCAGTGCCTTGTCTTTAGCCTGTATAGCTCACCAAGGCTGTTTTACATCCTTAGCACCCTGGTTCACCAGGATGTGACCCAAAGCATACCCACCTAGAGTGTTAGGGAAAACCTTCTGTCCAGAAACTTATTCCCTATTTCCTCCTCTCTATGAAGGAGCTGTCCCCACCCGCATGATTCTGAACAGGGTGTTGATATTGTTGCTTCGAATAGCATCCCGACAAGCAGAGATCACCTGGTTCTTCGGTTTTCCAACTGTATGAGAAGGAATATAAAGTCAGCACATCCCGAGACAATATAAGTGGAATTAGCAAGTAGAAGCCAGTTTTAAAACAACATAAAACTAGGGTAGAGAAGAGTCATATAAACAAATTTTACTAATTTATGCTCCCTAAAACCGTAATCTTGGCGTTTTTTCTTAACGTTAAAAAAGATGCAGTGTTTAAAACATTGATAAAATATGAAGATGAATCTGCTAACAATATTAAGAATAGGTCATAAAACAAACCTAGAGACCATCTCAAATCTACAAAACCCAAAGTAGAAAAGAATCAAAGCTCACGTCCATCCAGTAAGATTATAAAGGTGTCAAAGCACTGGCCCAAAACAGAATTCAGATATAAATCTAGCTGTATTTCTGTTTCCTTTGATTTATTCTATTTTTCTTTTTCTAAAATTTTAAGTTAGATACTCAACTCATTAGTTTTCAGTCTCTGTTTCCAATTGGGTCTTCAGGGCTCCATAGTCCTTTGGGGTATAAACACTAGGTCTTTCTTTAGAGGAAGCAGAAAGATCTCAGAAAAGGAGCTGAAGGATTCTTTCTCTTTGGAAGACTAATGTCAAGCAACGGACAGAAGCTCAAGAGATGAGCCGCCTTTGCAGCATTAGGGTATGCTACTCCAGGCCCCAAAATGAGTTGTGGAAGCTACCAGCATCTTCAGTGATCCTCACCCCAAAAAAGTACAATTACAGTGCTGTGAGAAAAGACTTACCACGCAGACGCCCAGCTCTTTGAATTGCTTGATTTACTGCTTTAAGATTTCCTAATAGTTCAGTGTGATTGTTACAGCGAATTTTATATCCATTTAGCAAGTCTTTATTAAGATCATAGAGTTCCATATAGCGATTCTTCATTGTTTTCCTGTATAAATCAAGATGATTTAACATCACTTGTCTTACTGTGCTGGGCCTAGAAATCCCTATAGGGCTGGGGATGCAGCTCAGTGACAGAGCCCCAGCCTAGAATGCTTTAGGCCCCAGGATGTGATCCCCAATATCACAGAAAAAGAAACACTTATCAGTGTCTTAGTTACATTTAAAAAAAGAGAGAATACACATTTTTAGCTGTATTTTAATTAAAATGAGGGAGTTTTTAAAGTTTGCTTTGAAAACATTGAGAAGTTTCCATCAAAATATCCTATTTGTTCCATATAAACAGAAGACAAGTGGTCTTTCTTGGTGATTGGTCCATGGTTGTTCTAGATTTAGTTTAAGAATTATTGAGTCCAGAGTGCTGTGAATAGGGTGATGAGCTATATTTCAGGATCCAATTAATATTCATTATTCAAAAGTGACCTATTCTTAATATTGTTAGCAGATTCATCTTCATATTTTATCAATGTTTTAAACACTGACTGGATCTTTTTTAACATTAAGAAATTATTTTTTATTTTTCCAAGTGAGCTAATGGCACTGGGGTTTTTTTATACATTTCTTTTTAATTTTTTAGTTATAGTTGGACGCAATACCTTTATTTTATTTACTTATTTATTTATTTTAATGTGGTGCTGAGGATCAAACCCAGGTCCTTGCACATGTGAGGTGAGTGTTCTAGCTACAACCCCAGCCCCTTTTACACATATTTTTTTAAGGCCTACTGCCTGACATATTTATAACTGAAATTAGACCATGTCAAGAATTTGTTTCAAAATAATGCAGTGCCTGGGAATGAAAGAGAGTAAGTATAGAGATGAGAAAAGAACAGTGGCCCGGAGCTGGTGCCCACTGAAGCTAGGTGGGTGCTATAAAGGAAATAATTAATTATTYAATCTACTTTTGTATGTTTGAAATTTTCAACTCAATACAATYATTTTAAAAATTATTTACTTCGGAGCAATACTATTTTAATTATTTATCAATAATTCAGGCCTTTCAGGAAAAAAAGCACAAGTAACATCCTGGTTGAACTTTCACCTCTAAAATAGATGCATAAGCTTCACCTATTACTCATTTTCTACTGAATTTGCTTCAATACATTTCACTGTGAAGATGAATTTTGTACCTTAGCAAGAGAGAGGCTAAACATGTATTTGTTATTGTTTTTTTTTAACTTTGTAATTGTACAATGTTACATATTCAGAAAAATTCAGAGAACAAGTGCTTGTTAAGGAGGTCAAGAAACAGGATGTTGTCAGCATCCCAGAAGCTTCCCAACTTGTTCTTTGTAAACAGTTTCTCCTCCCTAGAAGAAAATACTATATTATACTCCTCCTCTCTCCCTTTATGCTTTTGCAGTGCTGGGGATCAACCCCAGGGACCTCATGGCATGCCACGCAAGCGCTCTACCTCTGAGCTGCATCCCAAGTCCCTCATTATGGTCTTATCATCTACGTATGCTTCCGAGGAAATATAGTTTAGTTTTGTCCTTTTCCAAACGATATAAATGGACGCACCGGGCATGATGGTGCCACCTATAATCCCTGTGACTCAGAATAATGAGCAGGAGGATCATTAAGTTCAAGACCAGCCTCAGCAGCTTTGTAAGACCCTGTCTTAAAAACTTTTTAAAATTTTAAAAAGGGTTGCCGATGCAGCTCAGTGGCAGAATTGCCCTTGGGTTCAATCCCCAGTATGCCCTGCCAAAAAATCAGCATTTTGTACATGTTCTTTAAGCCTCTTTCAGTATCCAGTATGTGAGATCTGGGCATGCTCTGTGCCAGGGACACTCACCCACTCTCGCTGCTCCACTGTATGAATATACCACATTTATCCATTACACTGCTGAGGCTAGTTCGGACTATTCCCACTTTGGGATTTGCTGTGGTTGGGATATAATCTGTGTCCCTAAAAAGTCTGTGCTGGAAGCTTGGCGCCCAGTGTGGCGATGTTAATAGCTGGTAGGACCTTTATTAAGTGAGGCGTAGTACAAGGTCATTAGTGGTGCGGCCCTCAGTCAGAAGGGACTAGGTGGTTCTCGTGGAACCCTGGTTAGCTCTCTCATGAGGGTTGTTATAGAAGAGCAACACTGGCCCCTTCCTGGTCTCTCTGGCTTCCCCTCTCTCCATGTGATCTCATTCCTGCAGGTACTCYTGGCATGAGGCCGTCTGCCATTAGGTGACACAGCCAGAGAGGCCCTCATCAGAATTACTGCCATACTATTTGGACTTCAGCATCCAAAATTATGAGCTAAATAAACCTCTTTTCTTTATACACTACCCAGTCTCAGGTATTTTTTGGTAGCAATGGAAAACAGACTAATACAGGATTCTTATACCTTTATGAATAGTCTTATATAAATATCCTAGTTTATATGTGCACAAGTTTCTCTAGGATATATACAAGAAGCAGAATTTCTGGGTCCTAGGGCATACTCATTTTCATCTTTACCAATAATGCCAAGTTATTTTCCAAAGTCACTGTATCAATCGAGGACCCCCTCCCCACCCAGCATCTGGGATCTGCTATTCCATTGCTCACATGTTTCATCTTGCAAGGCAAATACCCACATGTTCCTCATCAGACGAGCATCCTCAGCTTGGACCAGCAAACTTCGGATCAGATTGGAATTATCAGCCATGTCAGCACTGAGCTTCTGGTGCACTGAATGATACTCATCCACCTGGAGAACATGAACATCAGGAATTAAAAGGGTCTTGCAAACTTCTTGAAAACTAGACACACTGGGAAGACACTACCCACTACATGCAGAGGCCCTTTTCTTTCCCTGACCACTCATACCATTTTCATATGTATTCATAATCGCAATAATACTTCCTATCCTTTCATTTCCTCTTCAACAAAATAATTAGTCTCTGTGGCCTCCATATGACACTGCAGGGGGGCTCTGACTGTGTTGCAGCACTGAGGCCTAGCAACACACAGAGAGACATTTAAGGGATTTGAGGTGAGAATGGTTTTATACTTTGGGGACAATCACAATCCTCCTTGGTTTGCTCTTGGGTTTTTGGAAAGCAATAAACTGAAGACCAAAGAAGATATAACCAGATAAGATGAAGAGCTAGCAAAGGAGGATGTTAATATGATGTATATTTTTAAAAGTGTCCCCCTAAACAAAGAAAGAAAATAGGGTGGTCAAGAGATAACCTACTCTTATAAAAGAAATCCTTTAAAGTCTCCAATACTAATACTAGTTCAATTTTTTTACAAGAATTATTTAGAACATGATTATCACGTAAGTACATCTGTGGCCTCATTCATTAACCGAAACATTCCAAACTAGGAGAGACCACATTCTCACAGATGCAGCCACCAGGCACCCTCACCTTAACCAGCACCTTTCGTAACTCTTCAAAGTAGACAGGAAAATCTGCTTCTACCTGAAGGTCTTCAACAGCAAAAAATGAAGCCATCGACTGGATAATATCACCAGCCAAGTCAATATCATCAGTATTTACTGTGATCTATCCAGGAAAAAAACAGGCCAGGTTAGCATCCTCAGACAACAGGCAAACTTGGCTGAATCAGTATATGAATTTCTCCATAGTTAACACAATTTCTGAGCATATATTTATATGTAGCAATGAATGAGATAAGGGTTATTAATCCTTTAGGAAATTATAAACATTTTTTATTCCCTGTGGGTAGCTAAAAAGTCAATCCTCTAGCCTTATAAAATAAGTGATAAGACTATTCAAAGACTGAAAAAATGCTTTTATGAACATCTGTAATCCCAACCCTACCCAAAATGTACATGAAAGGGGTGAAGGAAAGGAAAGAGGGAGACAGAACCACTTTTCTAGATTACACCCCAGGGTCTACAACGGTAATACTAACAGACTATGTTACAACACTTGGTTTTATGATCTTGGCACTGAAATCATCCACCTCACTTTGCACCAARTGGTTAAACAGCACATGAGAAATCTATGAACGACCTTGACATTAAACAGTACCTCTCCACTAKGTTTTATTTTTATGTAGAGATGGCCGCCATTTCGTAATGATGTGAAACATACTTGAAATGGAGCATTCTGAATGTTRGTGTCTTCTGGTAACAGAAAGTTCTGGTTGAGCCATATAGCAATCTGAAAAATAGCAGAATGAAACAAATTTCACTTTTTTAAAGTACAGTCATTAGAGAAGGAAGACTTCTCCCTCAGTTTAAATACCTCATCCTCACCAAGAGAACACTGATCACACTCCCTTTTCCATCCTTATACACTTTTACTTTTTCTTTTCTTTTGATTGAACCCAGGGGCACTTAACCACTGAACCATATCCCCAGCCCTTTTTTTATATTTTATTTAGATGCAGGGTGTCAATGAGTTGCTTAGTGCCTTGCTTTTGTTAGGCTGGCTTTGAACTCACAATCCTCCTGCCTCAGCCTCCTGAGCTGCTGGGATTATAGACAGGCCCCACCACTCCCGGCTCTCACACATATTCTTAAGTAACATTCATGATTATGTCTGACCCCCAGAAGACATGATTTTACAGTATTCTCTACTTAGACAAAATCTTAAATGCAACGTACAAATGACAGAAGTACAGTGTTAATTCTGTTTATACAACAGCTCTTTTGTGGGTGTATCCTGGACAATGTAATCAGCTTAAAACTATTCCATTCTATTCTTTTTTTTAAACTAATGATGAGATCTTTCTTTTTTAAAATATTTATTTTTTTAGTTGTAGTTGGACACAATATCTTTATTTTATTTATTTATTTTTATGTGGTGCTGAAGATCGAACCCAGGACCTCACACATACTAGGTAAGCGCTCTGCCCCTGAGCCACAATCCCAACCCTCCACTCTATTCTTAAAAAAAAAAAAAAAAAAAAAAAAATTCAAGTGAAGAATATACACGCACACAACACAAACACAGGACACTTGCACGTGAGGAGTTTTAGTGTTAAGAATATTTTACAGTGGCTTGCAACACAGATTCCATGTCAGAATCCCTTGATGCCTTTGGAAGAGTCCACCTGTGGAGTTTCTGATTCCACAGGCAATACAGGAGCCTGAGAATCCATGTAATTAAAAAGCCTCACCAAGAATTCTGAGACCTGGCCACAGCTGAAGTCTGTTTATAAGTCCTTTCAACTTAATAAGGCATCGCCATACCACTCATGTCTCCTCGGGGGCCTTAGTGGTAGACAACACACCTTCACTTACAGATAAGGAACTTGAGGCTCAGGCTGGTGAGGGGAACTTCCCAAGATTATTTAAAATTTAATTAAGGTAGTATTTAAGGGCTGGGGCTATAGCTCAGTTGGTAGAGTGCTTGTCTCACATGCACAAGGCCCTGGGTTCAATCCCCAGCCCCACATAAAAGGAAAAAAAAAGGTAGCACTTAAACCCAAAAAAATGCTCCCAACTCCATGTCCCACTCTCCATCTTTTGTTGTTTGTTTGTTTTGTGTGTTTGAAGAGACTGGGCCCTGGCTGGCCCTGAATTCCTAGGCTCAAGTTATCCTCCTGCCTCAGCCTCCCCTAGCGAGGACTACAGGTGCGCACCAGGACACCCAGCTTCTCTCTTTGCATCTGGATGTAAGTTCCTCTCAAAATACTAAGTCAAGACAAACACACTGGGGCTGGGGTTGTGGCTCAGCAGTAGAGTACTTGCCTAGCATGCTTGAGGCCCTGGGTTCAATTCTCAGCACCACATATAAATAAATAAATAAAATAAAGGTATTGTGTCAACTACCACTAAAAAATATTTTTAAAAAGGACATACACACTAAGACCATAACAAAAGAAAGAGAGAAATTAAGAACTGGTAAGAATTCATTTGTAATTAAGGATTATGCAAATAATGTATTTTTTTCAAAGTGAAAGAAGATACTTCAGCAATATTTTTATTACATGTTACAAGCCAAATCACATACATAATTCTTTTTTTAATATTTATTTTTTAGGTGTAGATGAACACAACACAATGCCTTTATTTTTATGTGGTCCTGAGGATCAAACCCRGTCCTGCCCGTGGTAGGCGAGAGCTCTACCGCTGAGCCACAATCCCAGMCTCCACACTACATAATTCTTTCAAATAATGTTTGCTGTTACCAACATAATTCATATAATTTCCCCCTTTCTACAAAGTAACATCTAAAGGACTCCAATTTGAAGAAAATCACAAGTTACTTACCCTCTGTGCCCGTTCGGCAATGATAAAGTTAACATAGCTGACGGGTTCACTGGCGTTGTGTGGGCTGGTCAGTGCGTACATAGAGAATCGGGGGAGCTGTCTTGTCAATTCAAATACATGGAACTGGGTGCTATGGCCAAGCAAAGGGACACAAGAGAAGTGTTGAGTGGAGTGTTATTTCAAAGCACAWGGTCCAGAAAATAAGGTGACCACTTTACTGAGCCACATACCTACTCAGCCCCAAATAAATATATTTATAAAATGTTAGGGGTTGGAGACGTAGCTCAGGGGTAGAGTGTTTGCCTAGCATGCATGAGGCCCTGGGTTTGATTCCCAGCACTTTCCTAATTTGGAAAGATTTCAAATTAGGGAAATAAAAGGTTGTGGGAAACATTAACTGGGGGTTGGAACCACCAAATGTCTTCTCTGCCCCAGAGGATGCCTGCACAATGGAAAACCTTGCCCTCCTCTAAGTGACTTGTAAAGGGTCACCTGCTTCTGTAACCCACAAAGGTTTTCAAGTGCAGATCCACCGGGACATCCTTGGGAGGTGAAACCGGGACACGGATGGAGCTGGAAAGGTTGTGAACGCTGGGATGTACCACGTGGCTTTCACCTACAAAAATTCCCTCGGCAAAAATCAACACTGCCCGGATGATAGTGTCTGCAGGGAAGAGAAGAAACAGCAGTTCCAGCCCTGCTCCGCGACGGCACCAGCACCTGGCAGCCCATTGCAAACACCGGCTCACCATTGGAAGTGGAGATGCACAACTCCACGTGAGCAGCTTGCTTCTCAGTCCCCAGCTTGACGGAGAGCGCAGTGTGGAGCTTGGTGTTGGCTGGGATTATGCCTCTTTGCCCATCGCCCTCATTCAGTGGACTGCTCAGTTCAGCCTAGGAAACACCCACCCACCAAACCTGTCACTAAAACAGKGAACTAATGTCGATTTTAAATAATGTGGCTGCTTGGTTTCAAAGGACAGACTCCCCATCATCTACTCCTGAGTCTGAGGGACGAGATAACTCATCTCAGGTGCCTCTGCCCCATCTGGTCCTGTGGGAAACACCCATCCCTTCGCCCTTTCTGTCGTTATGGTCCCCTGCATCTCACTGTTCCTTTTACATGCTTTTCATGTTCTTTAAAATGACAGTGGTAAAGCACATGTCAGCATGTACAAAGCCCTAGGTTCAACCCCCAGCAGCCCACCACAAAAAAAAAAAAAAAAAAAAAAACCTCACTTGATAGGCCAAATTCCAACACAGTAACATATGACAGGATAAACTAAAGCCCACTCCTGCTCATCTCCTGCCAGGCTGGTGGATACACACATGCGTATTTTTTAGTTATCAATTTATGTATAGTTTTTTAAAAATGATAAAAGAAACACTCTATACATATTGTTTTTGCTTTTTTCTACTTAATAACACCCAAATACCCTTCCATATCAGTCCAGATATATTGACTTCAGTTTTTGAGCAGCTATTAATTCCCCAGCACGTACTCCCTGTCACTGATGAACAGTTAAGTTGCTTCCAGCTATTCACCTGACAAATGTTTCTACAGATCACCTGCCTGAAAGTGGAATTTCTAGATCAACAGATGCATGGCCTCGTCACTCTGGCGCTGGCAGAGAGGCTGACGCATCCTGCACTTCTGCAGACAGGCAGGAGGAGGCCCGCACCCTGGCCAGCCCTGACCCGGTCCTTCTCCTCACCTGCCAATCCTCGGGGTCAGTCTCGGCATTTCAGATTCTGCCTCCCCTCCCAGCGGGCCCTACCTTGGCGTTTTCCTCGTAGTTACGGAGTTCTAGCAACAGATTCTGCTTTTTTTGACTCAGCTCTCGGATCAGGTCCTGCTCCACACTGGTGTCCATGAGGTTTCCCCTCATCTCAGTGGTGCCTGGCAGGTAGCCCCGGACTGAAGAGAGGGAAAAACACTCACTGGATGGAGGACCACCCCAGGGACAGCCATATCTACTTTTAGGTCRTCAGTTAGTTGCTCTTAAAAACCAAAACCTGAAATTCTCATCTTCCCAACTGATGTGGACTTATTAAAACTCAGCATAAATACTTTAGAGTAGAATTTCCTGGCATTTGACCCAACCAAATTGAAAAAGTGACTTTTCAAGAAWTTTTCCCAACTCAATTTACTTTCCCCTTCCACTGAGCAGCAGATTAACTGTACGTGGCCATCCATCCGGTAATCCGCCTCGACCACACTAGCAATGGCAGAAGAGAAGTTGTCTTTAAAGATGACCTCCCCAGTTCGGTCACTTCGAGCATCAACCTAAAAATAAAACAGGAACTTAAAGTCACTTATGCCACAGTTTGAAAATACCACCATCAGCAGCACAAGGTTTTGAAATAAAACCCAGCTTTAGAGGTCATTCAGTCAAGCAGTCTTTAAAGTGTTCCACGAAGTCTGTGACTTCTCCGTGACTGCTTCTCCTTGTGTCTTAGCCATTCTGTTTGGTCTCATGTGAAGATCAATAACCAGACTCGAGGGAAAGAAGAGCACTTAGACCTCCCAGGGTCCTAAGGAGGCCAGAAAGAACTCGCACGTGTAAAGCACTTGAAGAGGGCCTGGCACATAGGTCCAGGGCACATGTCAGCTCTCTATAAAAATCCTACCTTCCTAAAATCCAAGAATACGAAATATCATTGTATCTGAAGTGTAAACGCCAAGCGAGGCCAGTTCCCCACCATACCACCCAGTCCCCCTGCCATACCACCTTTTGCAACGACCCTGTGAAGTGTCCTCTTCCACACAAACTGCCCAGACTCAGTACTCCTATCCTCATTGTTTCTCTTCCTCCCAGGAATAAATCAAATAAATCACTGACTGATCAGAAGCAAAGGCATCTAAAGAACAATCATAGATGCTCATTCAAAATGATGATTTAAGCCCAGGTAAGGACACCRGTGTCATAAACAAAAGGCTAGCTACGGAATATCTGGCAGAGCAACCAGTGTCATTTCAATGACACTGCCATTCACTATTTTGTCTTTTCGTATACATTCTTCTAGGGAAAACTTTGCAACCAAAAAATTATTTAGGTCACAGACTACTCCTTGTCCAGGGTATATATGCATGTAACTTCTTTTTCTTTTCTTTTCTTTTTTTTTTTTTTTTTTTTTGTGGTACCTGGAATTGAACCCAGGGACTTGTACACATGCTAGGCAAGTGACACATGCTAAGTGCTCTACCACTGAACTACACCGGCAGTCCTTCATACTGTATTTTGAGACAGAGTCTAGTTAAGTTTCTGAAGCTGWCTTCAAACTTGTGAACCTCCTGCCTCAGCCTCCCAAAGAGCTGGGATCATACGTGTGAGCCACTGTGTCAAGCTTATTTGTGTCATTTCTAACAACATCAGGTAAGCCTGAAGATTATGATGACCAAAGCTTGTGAAGGAAGGAATGCTGGTGTTTTACCAAAGTTCTGAGCATATTTTAATATGGGGCTGAACTGAACTTCTTCCCTGTGAAAGCCTAGCTATCGAATAGCCTTAGCACTGCATYGCCATATTACTAAGTTTGCAGCTGAGAAGGACTACAAATAAGTCCTTCTGTGGACAGTCTCTTCTTTTGCTTATCCAACAGGGAAGTTTTGTCCTGCAGGAGAGGACAGACCTCCAACTCAACAAACAACCTACTAAAGACAAAGTTAACAGGCCAATAGTATTTTTTTTAGTATTTTTACTCCTACATTCACAAGTTGCATCTGTTTATCTGCCTTTTCAAGACTATTTGTGTTAAGTGTAGATAATCAGTTTTTCCACTTATATAATGATTTCATAATTTTCTTATCTTTTTTTATGCTTTGGAACAGATTATATAACAAAAAAATCCTTAAAATTTTGAAAGAATTAAACTATGAAACTCTAGGTCCGAAGTGTAATTAGAAGTAACTTTTAGGGCTGGGGATGTGGCTCAAGCAGTAGCGCGCTTGCCCCGCACGCGTGCGGCCCGGGTTTGATCCTCAGCATCACATACAAAGATGTTGTGTCCRTCGAAAACTTAAATAAATAAATATTTWWAAAAAAAGAAGTAACTTTTAATAATTTCTCAAGTCTAAGTAGTTTTGTAATTCTTGATGATAGACCCAACCTTTCTTAAAATTGGGCATCTCGCCATAAAACCATGAAAAGATAATTTCGGCTTTACTATAAATTACTGCAAATTCTGAACCTACTTGGAATGCCTGCCCGTGCCCTGAACTCACCCAGGTCCGGTTTTCCCTGACCAGATAACAACCCTTTCCTAAACCTTAGTGAYGCCTCATAAATTCTGGCCTTCCCTGGCCGGACAATGACCCYCTCTGAGTCTCTAAGATCTCCATAAATTCTGATGCCGGGGCCAGCAAAAATGTAAACTTGTGTTATGCTCCTCAGAGTGCTGTTATCTGTAGCCCCCCCCCCTTTGTGTAACTTTTTGGGCTATAAAACGGGGCCACAAAGAAGCCTCGGGGCTGTCTTGCTCCCGCTGTTTTGGGAGGGAAAGGCAGCCCGGCCGGTCGAAATAATAAGCTTGCTTTAATTTGATTTTAATTGGAGTCAGTGGTCTTTTCTTGCGTCCTGGTCTAACATTGAATCAATCATAATTTATATTCTCCCAGAATATAGTACTTTCCTATGGTATTAATGTTTGTGTCTCCCCAAAATTTGCCTGCCCTCACGCCTGGGATCAGTACTCTCATTCTCATGAGAGTCCTTGAAAGACCTCCACCCCTTCCACCACGTGAGGCCACAGTAAGAAGAAAACCAACCATGAGGAAGCAGCCCTCCCAGACCAGAGATCTGCCACTCCCTGACCTTGGACTCCCAACCTCCAGAGCTCTGTGAAATAGACTTCTGCTTTTTACGAGCCACCCAGTCTGTAGTATTTTGTTAAAACAGCCCACATAAATTAAGACATCCATTTTGTGGACTTTTACTTCTTGATAAACAATGACACAGCCTTCACTTATGATTTTGAATACTCACACCAAGGACAAGCCCAAAAAGAAGAGCAGGAACAGCCTAATAACTTTTTAGAACCTGTTCATTATGTAACACCACAGAAAGACTGGAGGTGCTGGCCCAAAGTAAAGAGAAAGAAAGACAAAAGACGGAACTAGCTGATCCCCTCCAGGCAGCCCAACACTGACAGAGAAGAAAGCAAGGGCACAGTATCCATGGAGACCTGGCAGCTCCTGAGACAGTTTCTGACAATCTGGACTTGCCAAAAGACTAAGAAATTCTGATCTGAGTTTAAAAAGGAAAGAAAGAAAAAGGGGTTTTACTTTGAAGTGATAGCTGGGAAAACAATATGCTAACCTGATTCTTCTCATTAATTCTAAGTTTTCAGTCAGTGTTAAAGATTTATTAGGAAAGAGCTATTCAGACAGTTCATTATTACTATGTGATTAACCCCACCCCCCCAACTGGCCTATACCTACAGGCAACCTGATTGATGGCTTTTCCTTCTTTCAAAGAAGAGATTTAGAAAGAACCCCCCAGGAGATTTTTCTCAAGCAGGGCTTACAAGGCTAAAAGGATAGTCACTATGTAGCAGGAAGAAAAGTGTGGAAAGATTGGGAGGTTAAATCTGAAAACCCAGCCAAGGAAGTCAGGGTTGTTTCCGTGTTACAATTCTAGGTCTGCAGCCCTTATCACAACCTTATTACTTAGAACTACACACAAACCGCTGATTTACACTCACCTTCCCATTGGACCAACCGGTTATCAGTTCACACACTCCATCAGAATTAAGGTCAAAGGCATGAATACTCATGGCATGATTTTTGGACTGAAAGGGAATTTCAATAATTAGTACAGAAGTCTCTGATACTGAAATATAAAGTGCATGAATAGAAAAAGCTGACTTTACTTTTATTCTCCAGTATCGAGCTGTTTTGTCATAAACTCCAACTGTGCCATTGGAAAGGGCATAACCAAATCGACTGCCATACATGGGACACAGAGAGGTGATTATCTGCAAAAAATAACACATAAACCACATCTTTTTGTTAAGGTTCAATTTAATATGAAGTAGTTTTTGAAACTATATGCCACTGAGTGCAGTGGTGCACACCTGTAAACCCAGAGACTCAGGAGGCTGAGGCAGGAGGATCCCAAGTTCAAAGCCAGCCTCAGCAACTTAGTGAGGTCTAAGAAACTTAGAAAGACCTTGTCCCAAAAGGAATATATACTTCAAGTACACAAGAACTAGCATATGAGCCAGGTGTGGTAGTGTGCACATCTGTAATCCAAGCTACTTGGGAAGCTAAGGCAAATCACAAGTAGGTGGATATAATACCTTTATTTTATTTTTATGTGGTACTGAGGAATGAACCCAGTGCCTCAGGCATGCTAGGCGAGAGCTCTACCACTGACCCACAACCCCAGCACAAACAGTTACCACTATAGTCTAAATTTTAAAAATAATTCTAATCTACAATTGACTAATTTTTACATTTACACTTTTCTTTCTATGACATAATTGTTTGCTTGCAGTAAAATAAAGTATAATCCTTTCAAAACTGAAAATCTGAGTAAGTGGGTTTGTATAGTATGTAACAATATACAGAATTGTATATATTATACAGAAATAGTTACAGGACTACAACAAGGATTTAACATCCTTAAAAGGATAAAATTTTAGATACTAAACAAAATTATACTTTAAAGTTAAATCCAAAAACTAATGATATCTATGATCCTGCAGATCTATTTTCTAATTCTGGCCCTAATACAATAGATATTAAGAAATAAGTTGTATAAAGCAGAGAATAGTTATGTAATTTCCTTTACACCTACAGCTTTTCTACAAAACCACCCACTCCACTTAACTCTGAATACGAAGTACTGTGTAGGAATCCAGAATTATTTAGCTCAAGGCATTCTCCTGGCAATACTCAGCACTGTTCAACTGCCAAATGAATCATGATTCTGCTGATCTGGGAAAAGATATTTGAACAGCAAGCAAAACCAAACCAAGAGGAGAGGAAATTGGCTATGCAGATGAACAATTTTATAAAGTCCATATTTTCATAAATTCAGCTCCAGATTGCATAGATCCTTTAGTATTTCTTTAGTTCATTTGCCTCTTTCTTTTGTGGACTTGAGGAGCAACAAGTTCCTGCTAATCTCTAGCTCTATTTCAACGTCTCCTCTCCTTGAAAAGTGTTTCAGAGAATTACACTCTCCTCACATCCAGTATTGACAAACAACAGAAATCTAAAGAAAGCAAAACTGAATGACTTCTACCAATGGGAAAAGATTTACTGTAAATCAGAATGAAAGAGATACAAAAATGGAGGACACAGCACCTTCAGGCCAGTGACTCTCTAGCTGTTTGGGGTAGTTCTAGGGGGTGGGAGGTTATGAGTCCATTCAAGAGCCTAATGAACAGTAAGGACCCTCCTTCTGGAAAAGCACATATTTATACCATAGGACCCTTGCACAGACACACCTGTCCACACCACTACTTGTAGCACTAATTTCCCTCCTTCGTTTCTTCTCTATCCATAGCTATCAGTTTACATTTTAATAACTGTGATTATATAAAGCATATAGTATGATTAAATAAGTTTTTATCCTAAAACCCTCTGGAYTRTAAAAAGATGCCCTGGCACCCTCATCTGATGTTAGGTTTGTTGCTTGATCCGCCCAAGGCTAAGGTGKTACTTCTTACCTCTGTTTCTGTCATTTCTGCCACAATCTCATCTTCTTTAAAAACTCGGATATCAAAATCCTCAGATCCAACAAGAAGCTAAAGTGAAGGGAAACCATATACATTTAGTTCAGGAAATGAACACAGCAAAATTCCCATAAATAAAACAAAGATTTCATATTACTTTGCTGCTCCCACCACCCAAGAGTCCCAATCCTCCAATAATCTAATGCTCAAGAAGATCCTCTCTAATGGCAGGGTTGAGGGTCAACAGACTCAGTGAAGAAAAAGTAGCTACTCTACATTTTATCTTCCCATGTGGGAGGCACATCTTGCCAGACATGTTCTTTTACCCTGTACTTCAGAATGTTCCCTAGTTCAGCAACCTTCCCTGCTTGCAGAGGGAGACCCTGTTTCAAACACAAGAGCCAAGTGTCCATGGACARGAGGACTAAGTTAGTGCCAAAAATAGCCCTTCACATGCTCGGACTGCTYGAGAAGCTAATTTTGAGTAATTATTAGAATAATTTAAAAAGCTAAGAAACAATCTCTAAAACTTTTATATTACTGAAAAAGTGGGCCAAAATTGAAAACTACTTATTAATATGATTTCAGAATATCAGAAGCAATTTACAAGATTTTAAATATGACAGATTCCCCTCTAACTGTTCTGCCTTCTCTCTCCTGTGTTTTTAAAACTTCCTTGATCAATTGCCATGACCTTTGTATTAGATGTACTGTTCAATCTAGTTGACAAGTGATTTATTGTTCAAAAGAGAGGAAAAAGACCAATGAGGCCAGTAAGTTCATCATTTAGGAAACAGAGCTCCAAAACCAGGCATGAAAAACTAAGACTTCTCTCCACACTAATGTCAMCGTCAGGGGCAACTTATTTAGCTCAACATACAAAGTATCATCTTCTCCCTCACATACCTCTTTCTTTCCATCACCATCAAAGTCACACAAGGCCAAGGAATGAACATTGTCTCCAGTAACCTAAAAAYGAAAACAAAAATCATTAAATCATCTTTATTAAAGATTCAATCAAAATATACTAGCAATATGAAGGGGAGGATTATACAAACCACCCTTTTTTAAYGTTTGTGAAACATTACAAATTTTGTTCTATTTTATGTTTTATTATTTAGTACAGTCAATGGTTAAATAAAATTAAAAGTAAAAATGCCAAAAAGAATGTTTAGTTCTTCATACCGTCCAAAAGAGATCATTTCCTTCATGGTCAAAACCCTGCAGGGCACAATTTCCACCAATAATGGCAAGAGGAGTGGAAATATCTCCCAATGTCCCCARTACAATGGCATTTGCCCCATCTGCTACCTAAGAAGACAAGACACATAATCTCAAATACAGTAATGTGCAGGCACATTGGAGATAACATACACCTGTRTTTTTACTCAAATATTCAAATTCCTTTGTCATCATTTGGGAGAATCCACATGGTCTCCTGACTGGGCAGCCACTGTGGCTTCTGCAAGGATGAGCAGAGAGCCAGGGTCAATTCAGAGCCCTGCTCTCACACCATAAGACCCTACAATAATCCAGGGCTCCCCAGGATCACCAAGTTCTAGAGCACAAATTCTCTAGAGGACCAATGCTTTTAAACATCCAAATTTTGTAATTTAGTTTACCATTTTGAATGGAAATATTTTTAATACTATTGCCCAATTCTCTTACTAAGTAGTCTTTCTCATTTTAAAGTTACTAGAAAGTATAAATAATAAAAAAATAAACCCCTCTAGTCCAACTCTCCAGAATTCTTGAATATAACTACATAAACATATCTTATCTATGGAAGAATCAAAGACAACTTTGTAAATACTGTTTATTGCACAGGAAAATAATCCTTACTTATGTTAAAAATAAGTAGAAAAAACATAAAGAAGAGACTGGTTATAAAGAAAGACATCATAAGAAATTAAAACTGTAAAATGGCAAGTTAGCAAAGAGGGAAAAAAGTTAAAAGGTAAGCAATGAATTAGAAAAAAATTAACTGTAACATATAAGATTTATAATTAAATGATTTAWATTTAAAAGATTTATATTTAAAGTTTTGTTTGTTAACAAAAGACAAATAAGAAAATAGTAAACATCTAAGTAAAAAAAAAGAAATTCACTAGAAAAAAATACTAATAATATTTACTAATGAAAATGAAAAATGTTAATTCACAATATATCCTTTTTCGATTTCTTTGACTTTTTGGATGAAATGATGAAAAAGAACAATAATATCCATTGTTGATTAGAATATATTAGAATACATATATAATATCATATATATTAACATAAATATATATTCTCTATATTAGAATATATTAAAATACATATTCTTATATTCTAAGGGCAGGGTAGAAAAATAGTAGCCTTTCTAGAAAGTAATTTAACAATCTCTATCAAAAAATCTCATTAAAAAAGGTTTTTAACTCAGCAATTGTGTTTCTTTTTTTTTAATTTAAATTTTTAATTTGTTCTGATTCTTCAACTATAAGCTGAGTCCTTGTGATAATAATTTTAGGCATCAACATACGTAGGCTACAGTTTCCAGATGTTTGGTTAGACAGTATTCCAGATATTGCTGCATTTTTTAGAGGAGATTAACATATAAATCAGTAGACTGAATAAAGCTGGTCACTCTCCCTAATGGGGGCGGGCCTCCTCCATTCAACTGAAAGACTAGTAGAAAAAAGGCTGACCTCCTCCAAGAAAGGAAGGATTCTGCCCTCGGACTGCCTTCAGRCTTGGGCTTCAACATCTACTCTTTTCTGGATCTCTAGCCTGCTGGCCCACCCTGCAGATTTTGGACTTGCCAGCCTCCACAATCAGGTAAACCAATGGACAACTCTTRTAGGTATGTTGAGTCAAAGAAGCCAGAGACCAGAGTACATTCTACATGATTCCATGTGTATGAAGTTCAGAACAGGAAAGTCTAAGCCAGTGAATGTCTATGAGGAAYAGGAATTGGCTGGAATAAGATACAACAATATCTTCTAAGTGACAGAAATGTTCTACATTTTTATCAGGGATATTGGTTACAGGGATCAAAATTCAYTGAACTTAAGGATTATGCATTTCACTATATCTACACCTTACCTCCTTAAAAAATACAAAAAAGGCATTTGCATTTCTAGGAACTTATCYTTAGGAAATAATCAGAAAAGTGACAATATATATGCTTATCTTAGTAATATTTATAACAGATAAACAATGAAAATAACATAAATGTTCAGTAATAAATTTCAGGTAAAATAAATTATATATGTTAACATAATGAAATACTATAGAATCAAAAAGAATGATATATAGACCTACAGTAATCAAAAAGAATGATATATAGACCTTATGGTATTAGATGTTCCTAATAATTTGTAAAAGAAAAGACTACACGTGATAGCCAGGAATTGGCATGCCCATTAACTGTGGCATATAYATACAATGAAAAATTATTCTGCCWTAAAAAGGAATGAAGTACTGTTAGATGTTACAACAYGTATCAACCTGGAAAACAACATACTAAGAAAAAGAGGCCAGTCTCAAAAGACCACATCTTATGATTCCATATTTATGAAATGTGTAGAATACATAAATTTCCAGAGTCAGAAAACATTACTGGTTGCCTAAGGTTAGCAAGTCAAAGGAAAATGGGAGTACCTACTAATGGGTATGGGGTTTGTTTCTTTTGGAAGTAATAAAAAATGTTTAAAATTGCTGGGCATGGTAGCACACACGTGTAATCTCATCTACTCAGGAGTCTGAGGCAGGAGGATTGTTAAGTTCAAGGCCAGCCTGACTGACTGAGGAAGACCCTGTCTCAAAATAAAATTTTAAAAAGAGGTTAATAAGCCGGGGTTGTGGCTCAGCAGTAGRGCACTCACCTAATTGTGCGAGGCACTGGGTTCAATCCTCAGCACCACATAAAAATAAATAACATAAAGGTATTGTGTATAATTACAAATAAAAAAACAAAACAAAATTTAAAGCTATAAAAAAGGGGTTAGTATCTGGTACAGTGGTAGAGCACTTGCTTAGCATGTGCAAGGCCTAGGTTGAATCACCAGATGAAAACTGATTGTGGTGATGGATGTTAAACTCAGAATAAACTAAAAACCAATTAATTATACCTATTAAAAAGGTAAATTATCTGGTGAGTGAATTATATTTTARTAAAGCTATTATAGGAAAAATAAAGTAAAAGGTTGCATGTATATAGTATGATCGCATTTTGTTAAAAAAAAAAAAAAGGTGTACTTACATATACTAAACAAAAATACCTGGATAAACAAAAAACTAAATGTTACTTCTAAGTCAATAAACTATGGGGATTTTTTTTTCCTTTTTGTTTCCCTATACTTCCTATAACAAATATGAGTTAATTTGGGTATTGAAGTAGTAGCAGCCTGTAGATGGCAGACTACAGTCAGGGTTTCTCCTACAAACTACTCTACTAAACTTCAATGCAAGGCCACCAGGAGACCTGCTTGCTGGCTTCCACTCCTGGCTGAATTCTCAATAGGTATTGATAGATGGTGCTGTCACAGATGAACCTCTAGAGACCAGGTGAATGTCACCAAGTGATTCCAACCATGACCAAATAAGTTCCAAGTACAGAAAGATGTGAGTGGAAAACTCCCTGTGTTGTTTAACTCCACTATAACAGCCACAAAATAAGCAAACCAAAATAAACACRTGATCTCTTTCAAGCATAAAAACTGTTGGGCATTGGGTAATGGAATTCTATGGTTATAAAGGGTATACTTGCCTCTTTGTAGAACAAATCTGAATTATTATAGACATCATAAGCCAAAAGATTCGTCTGTGTCCCCACCAAAAGGACATCGCAGCCAAGCTCAGGGTTCAGCTTTCCTGCAGTCAGGCAGCTGACCGCCTGGTTAATGTTGAGAAGAGAAACATCAGACTCCAGGGGGCTCTGGAGGACTCTGGATGCACTGAAATGCTGGCTCCGTGTATGAGGATTGTGAATAAAAACCTAAACAAAAACAGTTAATTACATTCCCTTAAAATATAAAAAAAAAAAAATAGGTTATTAACAGATGTCACCATTAACAACAAGTCACTTTTATCTCCCACAAAACTTAAGATGCTCACACCCAGTTCTGTGCACGGTAACCCTCAGTCATTATCAACTATGAAATCTGGAGGTTCTTGGCCTTGTGAAGAACACGTGAGGCAAGGCTCAGGCCGCTCACCAGGGCAGGACACCCCAGCACTCACAGACCAGCCTTTCCCCCATCCACCCACAGGCAGCTACTGCCAGCTTCAGTAGGATTGTTACACACCCAAAAGATCACAGAAAGCAGAACAGACACTTCTTTTAGTATACTTTGTTCCAAACACCTAATAACTTTATTTTCTAACCTAGTCTAGTAGTTTGAAAATGTTTTATGAACTTAAGCTGTGTTATAGAAATCAAATTTCTTGAAGAGCTTTTCATTGTCTATACTAGTAAAACAGAAAATTAGTTTGTCCAAAGATATTAAACTTGACAGGTTCAATTTCATAAATATAATCATCTGAGTGACTGTGTAAGTCATTCAACTTCCTTGGGTTTCATCTCTGAAAAGGAGCTTTGGAGTAGAAAAAAAATGTATTCTCAGGAGGGGTGAAACTACTCTCAAGATGGGTAACTGGGTTTGAGGTGAAAAGATGTTAAATATTAAAATGTCTTGTCACCAGGCACAGTGGCACACACCTCTAATCTCAGCAACTCAGAAGGCTGAGGTAGGAGGATCACAAGTTCAAGGCTGGCCTCAGCAACTCAGTGAGACCCTGTCTCAAAATAAAAAATAAAAAATAAAAATAGAGCTAAGTTTGTAGCTCAGTGGTTCAGTGCTTGCTTTGCATGTGTGAGGCACTGGGTTCAATCTTCAGCACCACATAAAAAATAAATAAATACAAAGATTAAAAATAAATAAATAGATAAATAAATAAAAGAACTGGGGATGTGGCTCAGCAATAAAAGTGCTCCTGGGTTCATGTCCCAGTACTAAAACAAAACAAAACAAATCAAAAAACAACTGTGGCCTCCAAAGGGCCACAATACAGACAGAAACACAGTATGAATGTAGTATTAAAATTTCACTGGAGAAATTTTCAATGTCTAAAATAGCTACATATGGGGGCTGGGGCTGTACCTCAGTGGTAGAGTGCTTGCCTAGCATGGGTGAGGCACTAGGTTCGATCCTCAGCACCACATAAATAAATAAATAAAATAAAGGTTTTTTTGTTTTGTTTTGTTTTAAAAACTACATGGGGGCCAATACAATAAAAGAAAGGATGGAAGCCACTGGACTAGAAATCCCTTGGGCTCTTTCTGGTTATCAAATTCACTAATTTTAAATAAATATTTAATTTCTTAGATATAAATCCAAAGAGTATTAATTTTAAATTATTACCTATACCAAGTAGCACATTCAACAAAAAATAATTTTCAAAAGAATTGACTAGAAATATGTAGAAAACACATGCAGCTGCTGAACAGTACCTTCGTGTTCTCTTTTGTGTGAGTATGCTTTTGCAAACACTAATTGAATTTGATCCTCACACCAACCCCTAACTTACAGACAAGGTCAGAGGAGAGAAGGTCCTTTCCTGAGATCTCAAGACTACGAGTGACAGGGTGAAAACATGAAGCCTGTCACGCTCTAGACCCCAAGCTCTAACTACATCACACTTCCTTTTATAAGAGTTCTGAACAGAAGAATCTTTGCAGTCTTCTATTAGTTAGATCTGCTGAGAAAGAACTTAGGGGACCCACAGTTATTGGGTTTTGTTTTGKTTTGGTTTTTGGTACTAGGAATTGAATCTAGGGGTGCTTAACCATGGAGCCACATCCTCAGCCCTTTTGTATRTTTTATTTGGAGAYAGGATCTCCGTGAGTTGCTTAGGGACTTGCTCAGTTACCAAGGCTGGCTTTGAACTTGTAATCCTTCTGCCTCAGCCTCCTAAGCCACTGGGGTTACAGGGTTGCCCCACTACTCCTGGCTCCCACATTCATTGTTAACTAGAATGGAAGGAGTGTGATTTTTGCCAAGAGTCAACAAGAATCCAAAGAGTCAGAGTTCTTCCCTGTTCCTCTCTTGCTGTTCTCTGCACACACAAATATGAATGTCCAGGGAGAACTACTTGTCCCTTCAGACAAGGAAAAGCCAAGCTCAGTCACATGACAAATGGATTACTCCCTATTTTGTAGATTCTTAAAGACTGTCTGAAGTTCATAAATCATTTGTTCTAGCTGATGGAAAAGTAAATTGAACTTATCCCGCCCACACCACCAGCTCTATGGTGAGGGAAAATATGTTCCCAGAGGAAAACACTAAGTTCATATTGCAAGGAAYCCCTTCTTAAATACCCTTGGCCAAGTGCCATGACATGTGCCTGTAATCCCAGCTACTAGGGAGGCTAAAAAGGAGAATCACAAGTTCAAGGACAGCCCAGATAATGTAGTAAGACTCTGTTTGGGAAAAAAGAAAAACAAGTTTTTCAAAATAAATAAATAAAATATGCTTGCTCAGGCCAAGATATGACAAAGTTCTGTTTCTAGAAATGAAGGCCCTAGTAGTCAGAGTAGGCTTTAGCCTTGCCAGGAATGTTTGTTTTTAAAGACTACATTTACATGTTATGTGAATCATAAGATATCACCAATTATTTTTTAAGTCTCCATATAAAAGATTAGAACTTTCCAGATTTATTTAAAGTTCTAAAAACAAAGTACTCAATTACACAGAGCACGGGATCCTCTGTTGTTTGACATCTTCATAAACAATCCTAGAATCAAATGTCCCTGCCTCCCACTCTAGGTCACAGTTTAATGTGAGGGCTTCCACAGAACCCCTGCCTGGCTCCCTGCTTCCACTTCTACACTCTACACTCCCTGTGTCCCCAGTGCATCCTCCACATACCAGTCAGACAGTCAGAATCACTTTACCTAAAACATACAGCAAATCCTATCACCCTCTTTATTGAGACCCTCAGTGGCTTCCCAACACACTCAGTATAAAAACCAAGGTCTTTACAGTGGCCTGCAAGGCTGGCCCTGCTCACCTCAGGGCCTCGGCATTCCTTTCCATCCTGACAACCTCCTTGCATCTTGGAACACACCAAAGCCTTTACCCTCGCTACTCCCTCTGCCTGCAAGGCACTTACTCCACATATCCAGAGCTTGTCTCCTCATCTCCTTCAAATCTCTGATCAAATGTTACAAGAGGCCTCACTGACTACCCCATCTAAAATAGCAAGCTCCTACCATCCCCATCCTCCACTTCTTTTCCCTCCCATGTACACACACGCGCACACACACAAGTAATTCTGGTAATAGACTCCAAAGGGATGAAACTTGTCTGTCACATTAACCACTGCACCTGAAAAGCTAAGAACACTGCCAAGCATGATAAGCCTTCAAATTAGGCGCTGTACGCCTACAGCAGGACTAATGTGAAGTTTGTTTGGGGATCCGTTAATGCCTCCCAACAACTAACATCATATATAGACCCTGCACTAAGTGCTTTACTCCTTAATGGAAGGGAATCACTACTCTTTACTTATGTATCCAAAGGTATATATATCATATGATGTAACAAAACATGTATTTAAAGTTTTTATTTAATGTTGTGAAAGCTATAAATCATTACATAAATGTTAGCTATAAAATGCACACTGGGTCAGAGAACATGCACTATAATCTCATTTCACCAATTTCCAGTTGAGTGGCTTCAGGCGCTGCTTTGAACCTCCCTGAATTATCTAATCAGCAAGGTAGGCATCACAATAAGAAAATAAAAGGTAACAATTAGTGACCACTTCCTATATGACAAGTGTTTTACATGTATTAACTTATCTAATCCTCATGACCCTAAATTACTACAAAGTACCTTGCCAAAAGTCATGAAGCAATTAATGGAGCCAGGATCCACCACATCTGTGCTATGCTACTACCCTTAATCTTGTAGCAAAGATGCTGAGGTAATTAATGTAATAAGGCTTTGTACTTGTATTACTCTGTATTTCATGTATTTTGAGCATGCCTCCACCAATATATTGGGCTTTGATCTATACACTGTTTGACATCCTTCTACACTTCAAGCGTTCTTAAAGTAGGAATTCCAATTTCATCCCTGAATCTAGCATAACAGAGGTGTTCAGTTGAAGTCTGATGACTGTTGAATGACCATGTCTCTTGCAGAGTATCTGGCACATATGTAAGCACATAATGCTTAGCTAATATATTATGGGGAAAACTCTGCATGTACCTGGCCAAGGATCAAAAGTGCAATTTGAGGGTTGGAGATACAGCTCAGTAGTACAGGGCCTGCCAATCACGAGAGGCCCTGATTTCCATCTTCAGGACCACACACACACAAAGAGCAACTTGAATTTAATTCAGGGATATTTACAGGCCTTTCTCTTTCTTCTCCTCCCAACCAGTGTGAGAGTGCAAGGAGTTCCAAGCGACAAGCAGAGGCTCCGGGCTGGATTCTAGGGTCAGCTATTACAGCTAATCCTAGCCAAGCCCTTTTCCTTTTGAAGACTTCCCTTCCCTAAGCTCCTTTTTCGTCCAGGCACGCCACCAATGTCCTGACAATCAGAAAACAATCAGAACTCCCTACTCCTCTTGGCAGGATGGACTCCTACGACGCGACTACGACAGGTTGCCAGGCAACCCGGGCCGGGGCGGGGCCGGCGCGAGAGGCGGGGTCTCGGGGGTGCGGCCCRCGGAGATCCTGGGGCGCCTGGCCCAGGCTTCGAGCGGGTGGGAGCGGTTACCTTGCCCGCTTGGGTGGCGGCCGCCAGGCACGGGTGAGTCCCGTCGTAGCGCCCTATAGCCACCATGCGGGGGCTGATTTTGTGGCGTAGTTTCAGGGTGAACACGGGCAGCAGCATGATGGTGGCGGCGGCGGCTGCTCGGTAGTGGGCTGGCGCCCGAGGCCGGCGCCCGAGGCCGGCGAGGGGCGCGGGGACAAGAACCCCCAGCCCCCGATGCCTCGGGCCGGAGGCGAAAAGGCCCCAAACCAAGYTCGCACGCCCCGCCGCCGATTCTCGCGGCTACACGCACCCACCCAACTGCTTCTGCGGCTGCGCAGACACCGCCCCGCTCTGAGTGCGGCTGCGCAGGCACCGCCTCACTCCGAGTGCGGCTGCGCGGTKKTTCGCGCCGCGGAGGAGCAGAGCTRTGTTCTCTCCTCAGAGCAGTCACGTCTTTGGCTGCTGTAACTTRCCTGTTTGAGGTTCAACTCCACCCAGGTGTCTGCGGTGGCCGGATCTGAGCCAGTGCATCCCCGCAGGCGTCCCCTCCCAGCACAACCAGTCTGTAGCCTGCAGACCCTGGTGGTCTATGACTTTTCAGTTGCTCTTTTAACAGGACATGACAGCATCACTAACGCTTATTGACCATTTTCTAGCTGCCATTATAAGTGCTTTATATGAGCATTTCACTTAATCCTACTATAACATTATGAGGTAGGTACTGTTGTTAGTCCATTTTACAGATGATAAAACTTTAGCATCATTCCTTCCTTCCTCTCCCCCCACCCCCACCCCGGCACTGTCTCACTCTCCCTCTCTTTTCCAGTATTGAGATTGAACCCATTTTACCACTGAACTACATTGCCTTTTCTATTTATTTATTTATTTATYTATCTATCTATTTATTTATTTATTTAAAGGCAGGGTCTCCCTAAGTGGCTGAGACTGGCCTCAAACTTGCAATCCTCCTGTCTTGCTCTCCCAAGTCACTGGGATTACTAGTGTGCACCAACTGTGCCTAGAATCACCACCTCTCATTATACGTCTAAATTGGCTTCCTATTTTCAATCAAAGAAAATCCAACCTCTTTAACAGATTACAYGAAGATCTCCAAAATATTCTGATCACCATTTATCTCTACAACCTCATCTTTTGCTTTTTCCCCTCAAACCCTATCCTTTACATGCTGTTGCTAGACTCTCTGCTCAYATTGTGTTTTCTACCTGGAATGACTTTCCCCATCCCTTCCATCTTTGAAGGCTTGGGTTGAACATCACCAGGGAGTCATGTGGGGGCCTKTCACTGCCATTCTCATATTTAGGAAGTAGCCACACTTTCTGTGTGCCTTCATCAGATCTCCAGCAGTCACATCATTTGTTACATAGAGTATATTTGAGTTTTTGGAGCACAACTCCAATTAGGATCAGCAAGGCTCCCAGAAGGATAGGGAAACCCCCAGACTTTCTGCCAAGCACCAATCCAGGCAGGGGACTTAAAGGTTTTCCTTCAAGGAGAAGGACCCAGAGTTGACCCTCTCCTGCCAGGAATCCTGGACTCTTCTCTGCCTGCCATGGCCTACCAGGGGTTACTGGCTCAGCCTTGTGAGAGTGAGAGATGGGGCTCTTGAGGCATAGGACTTTGCAGGGGGAATGGGAGCTGGCAGTGGGCTGGGGGTCAGCAGTTATTGTAGAAATGCAGCAGTACAACCTGTGATTCTCAGCAGCATGCAGACCTGGTTCAGACTCATCCTCCCTTAGTCACTAGTGGAAACTCAGGTCCACCATTTAGCCCTAATGCTCATGTTTATTGAGCACCTTCTCTGAACCAAAGACTTGACACAAGCCAATCACTAATCCTCAAAGCCACTCTTAGTCGTCATGCCATTTTACAAAAGAGGAAACTGAGTCACAAGAGTTCCTATAACATAGCCCAAAGTCACAAAGCTGGCAAATGGCAGCATCAGAATGGCAAACCCAGGCAATTGGGCTCCAGAGCCTGTGCCCCAACCACTGCACCACACTGCCCCCCAGTAGTGACCTTTCCTGAGCACCTGCATCCTTGTCTAGAAAAGAGAAATATCACCTGCACCACTTCTGAAGAGCAGTGTTGTGAGAATTAGATGAACTAATGAAAGGGCTTAAAGCTATGTCTAGCCCTTAATAAGGGCCCTCATGCGTGGTTATTATTACCTCTGGGAGAAAGGGCTGCCTTTGGGTAGGGTCACTGTGGTAATAAATTTGGGGTCTTTTTTCTTTTTCTAGCAGGCAGCATTGGTCCAGTTTTCTTCCAGTCTGAGATTGGAAAACCAGCCTTGCTAGTCAAGTTCTAATGGTTTGGGTTAGGACCAAAATATTTGATCCCGATTTGCTGGAAAGGTAGAGGGTGCCTATGCGGACAGGCGCTCTCCTCACCTTGAATTTACAAAGCACCCACTAGAGGGTGTGCAGGTGTAAAGAACTGATCCCATGGCTCAGGACTCAGAATAAAGGCCTGGTCTTTATTGGGTCTCAGAGGGAGGTGGGGCAGGAGGCCCCACAGGACAGGTCAGGACAGGAGACTGACTTCTCAGCGTGGACTGGGGCTTGAGAAGGGCTCCTTTAAGTCACCAGCTTGCTTCCGAGGGAAGAGAGAAGGACTTTTGTTGTTCTTTTTAGATATATATGACAGTATAGTGTATGACATATTGCACATACATGGAGTATAACTTATTCTAATTAGGATCCCATTCTTGTGGTTGAACATGATGTGGAGTTACACTGCTCGCATATTGATATGTGAACATAGAAAAGTTATGTCCGATTCATTCTACTCTCTTTCCTATTCCTATCTCCCCTCCCCAGTCTTGATTCCTCTTTATGTAATCCATTGAAGTCTCTCCCCACATCCCTTATTGTGTGTTAGTATCCACCTATCAGAGAGAACATTTAGCCTTTGGTTTGGGGGGATTGGCTTATTTCACTTAGCATGATAGTCTCCAGTTCCATTAATTTACCAGCAAATGCCATAATTTCTTTATGACTGAGTCATCTTTGATTGTGTATATGTACCACAGTTTCTTTATCCATTCATCTGTTCAAGGGCTTCTAGACTGGCTCCATAGCTTTGATATTGTGAATTGAGCTGCTGTAAACATTGATGTGGCTGCCCCACTAAATGCTGATTTTAAGTCCTTTGGATATATGCCGAGGAGTGGGATAACTGGGTCAAATGGTGGTTCACTTGCAGTTTTTACAGCAGAATTGTCTCACATTTTTAAAGTGGAAAAAAAAAGAAAAAGAAAAGAAAAGAAACAGTAAAATAACAACTTGAGGATGGAGGCTGTCTGTGGATGGTTTTAGGATCCAGATCTGCGTCCTCTTTCCAGGCGCATCCCCCCAGAGCCTGCGTATGAAGGACTGCAGTCTTAGATTCCCCAAACTCTTTAAGGGGAATAGCCATGAGGACCCCTCTCCAGTCCATGGAGGAGCAGGTGGGGAGACCACTAGATCAGACAGGCTGCACAGGGCCAGGCTCTGAGAGGACTTTTGTCTGGTTTCCTGCAGGAGCAGTTCTCCTGGACATCCCACTCACCCATCTTCCATTGCCTGCCTTCTTTCTAGAACTCCCAGTAGCTCTGTGATGGTCTGCTGTGGGCTGCAGGGTGAGGCTGACTACATGATCTCTTGTCTCAGCTCATTTCACACATGTCAGAAATTAGGATGAAGCATCTTATGTCAGAGTAGCTTAGCAGCATGTCACATGTGAAAAAATATATATAGAGAGAGAATAGATGTGGGCAGGGGGGCTACATATAAGAATAATAATAGGTAACATTTTTTGAGTGCTTACTATGTGCCAGTCTGTGAAATTCATTTTTTTTTAGCATTTTTTAGTTGTTGATGGACATTTATTTTATTTAAATTTATTTATATGTGGTACTGAGAATTGAACCCAGAGCCTCACGCATGGCAGGCAGGCACTTTACCACTGAGCCCCAACCCCAGCCCCTGTGAAATTCTTTATTCAAATTATTATCTCACTTAACTCTCCACATTTGAGGGTAGGTAATATTGTCCCCATTACAGATGCAGAAACTAATTTCAACCCCAAGTTCTTTCTACTCCCTATGTTATAATCAGGGTGTCCAGTTGGGGTCCAGAAGTTGAACCACGATGCAAAGAAAACCACTGACTCCAATTTTAAATCAAATTAAAGCAAGCTTATATTGTGAACACAAAGCTGGCCAGCAACTTTCAATCCCCAACCAGGCTAGAGATCAGCCCAGCTCTGGAGGAAGAAAAGGTTTATATAGCACAAAAAGTTACAAAATGGGGTGTCTTGGGAACTTACAGTTAACAGGTTGTGGCAAGCATAATACAAGGGCAGATAACAGGTTAATGACCTACATGGCATGATATTTCAAGGTAGGGAGTAAATTCAGATCCCAACATCAGAATTTATTAGGCGCTGCTGCTGAGGTTCCAGAGAGGGTTGTTATCTGGTCAGGGGGAGCCAGGAATGGGTAAGTTCACCAGAGCATGGGCAGGAATTCCAAACAAGTTCAGAAATCTCAGCAATTTAGAATAAAACAGAAATGAACTTTTCATGACTTTGTGATGAGATGGCTTTCCTCTAAGGATTCTTGCCACATTCCCAGGTGCTAAGATACTAGTAGGGCTGGGGTTATAGCTCAATGGTGGAGCACTTGCCTTGCATGCTCGAGGAATAATACCTCTTAATAAGAGATGCTAAAAGATAGACGACTCATTTTCAATACATTTTGTAGGATAAAGATTTACTAAAGCTCCGTGGAGGACCACGGAGCTGTATTTTTGAACTTGCATTTTTTTTTTTTTTTAACTTGCTGGTTGTATATTTTTCATTTGCCTGTCCAGATCCATTTCTTCTTCCTCTGTCCTGGTCTCTGCAGGAAGACCAATTGTAAAGGAGTGTGAGGGAATTTGGGAGGAGGTGATAAAAATGTTTGATAATTTGATTGTGGTGACGGTTATGTAAATGTATACAGTGTGATAGCTAAAATCATTAAACTGGGCTCCTGGTATAGCTCCAGGTAGAACCCTTTCCTACTGTTTGCAAGGTTCTGGGTTTGATCCCCATCACTGCAATCAAAAATTCACCAAATTATATATTTAGACTAAATGTATTTTATTATGCATAAGTTACACCTCAAAAAAGTTGACTTTTAATTTTTTAAAGATCAACAAGTATGTCACTCCCATACATAAAATCCTCCAGTGGCTTCCCATTATATACGGAATAAAATTCAAACTCCTAACTTGTCCTGTGGAGCTCTGGTGCCCGTGACTCACC